TGCTCACTGTCGTCTAGACTACGCCGCTAGTCTTGTTGCTGAGTCTGAGTCTGTCTGTCCTCCGTCCGTCGGAGGTGAGTGTGCTCTTAGCACGGACGTCCTTGAGGACAGGCAGGAGGAGTTCCAGTGTTTTGCTGCTGCTTTGCCTCATCTCGTGTCCACGCTGATTGCCCCTGAGGGAGACCCGGATGCACCAGACATCCCGACTCCTCGATCGTACGCTGAGGCGATCGAGGGTCCCTACTCCTCTCAGTGGCAGTCAGCCATGGACGCAGAGATGGCTTCCTGGAAGTCCACAGGCACCTACGTCGACGAGGTTCCCCCACCTGGGGCGAACATCGTCAGTGGCATGTGGATTTTCAGGGTGAAGCGGCCGCCGGGTTCTCCGCCTGTCTTCAAGGCGCGTTACGTGGCTCGAGGCTTCAGTCAGCGACAGGGAGTTGACTACTTTCAGACCTTCTCTCCCACCCCGAAGATGACCACTCTTCGGGTGCTGCTGCACATAGCCGCTCAGCGCGACTACGAGCTTCACTCTCTTGACTTCAGCACAGCTTTCCTGCAGGGCAGCCTGCACGAGGAGATCTGGTTGCGCCGCCCACCTGGCTTCACTGGGTCGTTTCCTCCTGGTACCCAGTGGAGCCTCCGGCGGCCAGTCTACGGTCTCCGCCAGGCGCCCCGTGAGTGGCACGACACACTGAGGACTACACTTGCGGCTCTTGGGTTTGCTCCTTCTACTGCCGACCCGTCGCTGTTTCTGCGCACCGACACCTCTTTGCCGCCGTTCTACATCCTCGTGTACGTCGACGACTTGGTCTTTGCCACTGCTGGACTCGCCCACGTGAAGTCCGAGCTGCAGAAGAGACACACGTGCACAGACCTGGGTGAACTGCGCAGCTACCTTGGCTTGCAGATCACCCGGGACAGAGCACGGCACACCATTACCCTGACTCAGTCACACATGGTGCAGCAGGTCCTTCAGCGCTTCGACTTCACGTACTCCTCGCCTCAGGCCACTCCTCTGTCTACTCGCCACTCGCTCTCAGCTCTGCCTTCGGATGAGTCCGTAGAGCCGAGTGGCCCGTACCCAGAGCTTGTTGGCTGCCTCATGTACCTGATGACCTGCACACGACCTGACCTCGCATACCCTCTTAGCATCTTGGCACGCTATGTTGCTCCTGGGAGACACCGACCAGAGCACATGGCTGCAGCGAAGAGGGTGTTGCGCTACTTGTGCAGTACGTCGGGCATGGGGCTAGTGCTTGGAGGGCGACGCCGAGTGGTCCTCACAGGTCACGCAGATGCTTCTTGGGCTGACGACCAGGCTACGCAGCGGTCGTCACAGGGTTACACCTTCAGCCTTGGCTCCGGCTCTGTTTCGTGGCGGTCTACCCGCTCGTCTTCTGTTCTCGGCTCCAGCTGTGAGGCTGAGATCTACGCGGGGGCCATGGCTGCACAGGAGCTACGCTGGCTCACCTACCTGCTGACTGACCTAGGAGAGCCGCCTCGTTCTCCTCCAGTTCTGTACGTAGACAACAAGGCCATGCTGGCCTTGTGTCGGGAGCACAGACTGGAGCACAGAACAAAGCACATTGCTCTTCGCTACTTCCTTGCTCGTGAGCTGCAGCAGCGTGGTCAGCTGCGCCTTGCTTACGTGGCCTCTGAGGCCAACACTGCTGATATCTTTACCAAGGCACTTCCGCCTTGTGATCATCAGCGCTTCTGTACGATGCTAGGTCTTGTGCCTACTTGGCCTCACTTGCTCACTTCTTGACCTTGCTTGTACTGTGATCTTTCTATACCTGCACTTGCTTGTTTACCTTTATATATGATCTTGCATGTGAACTGGCCTTGTGGCCTTGCTCTTGTGCTCGGACTGTGTGGTGACGTTGTGATTCACCCTGAGCTTGCTTTGCTTTGCTTGACTGGTCTTGTGACCCCTTGTTCTCCCCCTTTTTGCCTATGGGGTTGTGTCAGACTTATATGACTTAGCCTATGTAGGCTATAGTGGGGTAGCACATATGGGGTACAACACATTTCTAGGGTTTGTACTTGTACCCAAATTTTCCCTTAGTCATTTCATTCCTCATTTTCTTCACAATAGACCCCAAAATGGTAACTAAGGGCCAGCCAAACGGCGGCAACAAAATAAAAACAGCCCAACGGGCGCGACCAACGGCCTTGGCGAGGTTATGCTCCTCGTCGAGCTTAAACCACCGGCGCGGGTCCGTGAGGGCCATGCCCGCCAGCAGGGCATGCGCTGGCGGTGTGACCCGGCTGGCCACAGCGGAAACAGGTGCCGCGGAAGCTCCTAGCATCGCAGCCGGGGGCCGTTCCAAACTTGTCGGCAAACCCCGTGGGGCCTCGGCCTCCGAGGGAAGAGCCACGACCATAGGAGCCGCGTTTCATCGCTGCCACGTCCGCCACCGCTTGCTTGAAGGGGCGCGACGTCAGCACGCTTTTCTGCTGGTAGAGCTTGAAACGATGCGCCGTCTTGAAGTCGGAAGCATCGGCGACTTGGAGGGGTTGAAAGCGATCGGCGATGAGCGCGTACGCCTCGTCGAAGTGCTCGAGCGCGCCAGAGGTGTCGCCGTGGCGTATCTTGTGCTCTGAGTGCTTCAGGTACGCGCGCAGGTCCTCCAAAAATTCAGCTTGCTCGCGTACGCCAGCGTGGTTAAATGAGGAAGCCGGAATGGTGGGGTTGGTGGATGGAAGTGGAGGAAGATGCTCGATAGGTGCAAGATAATTGGCGTGTGCATGAACCTCACCCGCTTCGTCTTCAGAGTCGCTGCCGTGGTTGGCGTTGTTGGGCGCCACAGCAGCAGCGTGTTCCCTTTCGGCACGAGGGACCTCGGGGGCGCGAGCATGGCGAGCTAAATCATTTCTTGCATTAGCGTTTTTAGCAGATGCAGAGATCGTAGTTGCTGTAGCCGTAACCGCGGGCGAGTGCTGCTGTAACAGCGCCAGAAGCGCTTGGACTTGGTCCGCGGTCAACGTGGGAGTCAATGCCGGGTCATCCGTCGCGTCAGACGAAGACCCGGTTCGGCGCCTCTGGCGCTGACGCGACGGTCCAGCCACAGGTGCCGGCGCGTGCTCGGCGTCAGGCGCGTGTGGCGCCACAGGTGCTGCAGGTGCCTCCGTCGCCACTTGCGCCACAGGTGCCACAGGTGCCGAGGGGTGCTGCTGGACGGGGGCAGTGGCGTTTTTGTTGACCTCGCCACTGCGCAGCAGCATTTCGACGCCAGTGGGCGCGACATCTTTGTCGTCGCCCGTCGCTTGTTGCGGCGTTCGCCCGAAATATCACGGGCGTTCCTCTCGTTGTCCGGTTGATTCGGGGCGTTGGCGTTCGGGGTGCTCGGCGCCATTGAAGCTTGATTGTAGTTGAGAACGTCCGACAGCAGCGTAGAGGGTGACTGGAAGCGAGGAAGTGTTTAAACCCTCGCCAGGTTGAAGTCCGAAAAAATCGGGTGGGGACTCGCACCTCCGAAAAAATCGGGATGGGTTTCGGAACTGGGAATTGAACTTGAGCGATTGTAAAAATGAGAAACGTGGGTGGGGAAGAATGACCCCCAACCCTCATTATATATTCGGAGAAGGCGAGTAGCGCACTTCGACGATGCACAATATTGCGTTATAGTCAGCTTCGCTTTCACAATACACAAATTTGAAAGCGATAAACGCTTAGAATTTTTTCATGTCATACGAAAGTGGAGATAGGATTAGGGTTTAGGGTTTAGGGTTTAGACCCCCCCCCCCCCCCCCCCCCCCATTTAACGACTCGGGGGTCGGGTCCATAATTCTGGGGGGTCCATTAGCTGGGTAAATACGGTAACTTGAGGTTGGTTAATGACAATCTGCCTTTCTTTGCTCTGGCCTGATGACCAAAAGGCGAAGGATGCTGTCTAGTAGTGAAGAAAATTTAGAAGTAATGTCTTTTGGGCCTCAGCCAGAAACAAGGAGTCCCTTCCCTAGTCACTACGACCTCTGTATATATTTACAACTGTTTGGAATTTTTTATGTTGATGCATAAACCGGAGATTGTCACCGCGACGTCTTCAATCGCATCATTCCTTCGTGCTGGAACTTTTCCAAGAACGGGGGAGATCACGCCGTGTGTTTGACCGTAAGCCGTGGGATGTTCAGCCGTCAAGATCTCATGTACGAGTTCTCGGGGTTAATCGCAGCCATTCGATACACCAAGCTTCGACGATCTCTAGGAAGCACTTTGAGCCATCAATTTGCTTCATCAGAACCTGGACCTCAGAAGTACACGCGTGGCTACTATTACACGCTACAGCCTAGACATTCAGTACGACATATTTAGAAGACAGCTGAAGGTACCTAACCTTCGGAGCTACGACAGCTGCCAGCCCGGTGCGCAGGCACCTATAGATGGGCATTCGCGTCATTACATCATTCGCAAGAGTCGCGTCAGTCGCATGAGTCGCAGGAGGCGCTATTTGCTGCACAATGGCATGGATCGTAGCCGTTGAGAACACGCGGCCACGATTCGCTCGGGAATAGCTGGATCGTGATACGATTGTGATTGCGATTATGCAACGACCAATCGTCATGATCGCGTCGTAGGATAAGCCACTGGCGGTCGCCTGAATCCGCATGCGACGAATCGCATTCAACTCATCAGAAGTAGCTACCCCCGAGCTAGTACGGCACACTCGCCATGATTGGCGTCGCATCCAGCGGCGGATCACACGCCACCAGTAGGAGGATCACGGCAGCGAAGGCGGATATGTCGCAGAGCTTAATCACAAATAGGAGGCCTATGCTAGCGATGACCGTTCCAGCAGCTTCTGAGAAGATGCTGCGGTCATTCCTAGGCTGCTGCGTCCCTCACCCATCCGACGACCGTTCCCTCCGTTGCATGACGGCTGGTCAGCTTTCCCTGATCGGTAGCCGAGAGAAAATATCTCCGTCCGTCGTCGCGTTGTCGTCCGCGAATTGGCGCGAGCAGCGGCGAATTTCTCCGACGCACTCGTCGCGACATGTCTCGTTTCGTGTTGCGGCTGTTGGCGGAGGTGTCGGTTGGGAGGGAGCGGCAGGGTGGGAAGGGGAAGGAGAACGAAAAGGAGAAAGGGATGGAGAAGGAAAAGAAGGGAAAAGATTCGCAGAGAAGGAGGAAGGGGAAGCGGAAGGGGTGAAAGAGAGGAGATTCACTCAGGCACGAGGCATGGAAGGGGAGGGGAAAGGGGAGACGTGGAGATGGCGAGTCGGACGGGTTATAGGCGTGGCGTGGTACGTGTGCGTGGGAGCGCTGCTGCTCGTGTGCGTGCGGCAAGTGACGACCCTGCTGCTCCAGCACAAGGTGAGACCGACGGGCTTGCTTTTGGAACAAACAAGGAAAAGAACAGAAAGGAGATTTAAGGAGGAAAAAAAAAACAACGTTGTAGGATCAGGCGAGAATAACGGGACGGATCGAGTGAGTGTCCACTGCTTTTCCCCCCTTCCCCCTCTTCTATCCCCCTTAAATACCCCCCTTACCTTCCTCCAATTCCCCCATCCCCCACCCCCTTCCCCCTTCCAGGTCGCCTCTCTTTCCGCCTTCGCCTCGTCCCTCTCCGCGCTCCCCCCTCTCTTCTGGCAATCGCTCCTCCTCTCCTCTGCGCTCGCCCTCTCCGCCCTCTCGCGCCTCCTCTCCCTGCCCACCGCACCCTCGCTTTTATCACCCCCGTTACAAGCACCTCCGTCTCAGTCTCAACCCCCACCTGCTCCCGTTCAACCTGGGATGCCGCAGCAGAGACACGAGCAGCAGCAGCAACAGCAGCAGCAGCCGCAGCAGCAGCAGCAGCAGCAGGGGGTACAGAAGGCGTCTACAGCAGCAGCAGCAGCAGCAGCAGCAGCAGCAGCAGCAGCAGCAGCAGCAGCAGGGCGGGAAGGAAAGGCTGGGGGTGAGCATGTGAGCGTGGCAGAGCTGCAGCAGGTGGTGGGGTTGGTGCATGCGCTCTCACGGCATGTGGAGAAGATCCAGCTGCACACGCGAGTCACCAGGCGCACTCTCAGAGACCCCATGCTGCAGGTACGTTGAATTGCCTGACCCTGGAGTATATAGGATGCGCTAGCTGCAGCAGGTGGTCCAGGTGGTGGGGTTGGTGCATGCGCTGTCACGGCATGTGGAAAGATCTAGCTGCACACGCGAGTCACCAGGCGCACTCTCAGAGATCCCATGCTGCAGGTATGGTGAATCGCATGGCCATAGAGTAGAGGTAAGAACACGGGCTGGAAGCAGCAGGTGGTGAGAGTGGTGCATGCGCTCTCATGGCATGTGGAGAAGATCCAGCTGCACAAGCGAGTCACGAGGCGGACTCTCAGAGATCCCATGCTGCAGGTGCGCTAGATCTGTGGGCCATGTTGTTGCGTGGTACATTTTCTAAATAATATTTTTCTAAATAATAATAGATGTGCATTTTCTGCACTTGTGCTCAGCAGTTACAGGTGGACTTTGAGTCCACTCACAAGTGGCCACCAGACCAGACAGCACAAACCCTACAGTAGCAGCAGCGCAGCAGGGCATGCAGGCCAGATCCTCTCATGTCCCACTCCGTCAAGTAAATTCCCCTCTCTCCCTTACCCTATATCACCAGACGTCGAAGCTAGCAGAGGCGACAGCACAGCAAGTACAAGGCTTGCAAGTAGGAGGGAGTCGGAGGAGGTGCAGCTGCTGCTGCTGGGCGTGCAGGACCAGTCGTTGCGGCAATTCAACCTCTTTCTACCCGCTCTCTCTTTCTCTAACATTTCACTTTCTCGCTCTCCCTATCCCCACCAGACATCCAAGCTAGCAGAGGCGACAGCGCAGCAAGTACAAGGCCTTCAAGACGCCCTGGTGGCATCTAGAAGGGAGTCGGAGGAGGTGCAGCTGCTGCTGCTGGGCGTGCAGGACCAGTCCGTGCGCCAGTTCGACCTCTTTTCTAACTCGCTGCGGCTCCTGCGCTCCCAGCAAGACGCTCTGAAAGCACAGCAGGAGACGCTAAAATCACAGCAGGAGGTGTTGAGAGACGAGCAGGAGAGGCTTAAGGGGGAGCGGATGGGTGTCTGGGAACAGCAGGATGGTTCTGTGCGGTGGGAGCAGGTGGTTGAAGGCATGCAGCAGCAGTTGTGCGCACAGCAGGACGAGCTGAAGGCGCAGCAGGAGGTGCTATTGACGCAGCAGGAACAGGTGAGAGCGCACCTGCAGCAGGTGAGGAATCAGCAGGAGCAGCTAGGGGCGCAGCAGGAGGAGGTGGGGGCGGAGAGGGAGCAGCTTCAGGCAGAACAGGAGGGCATTCGGAGCGCCCAGGAGGGCTTGCTTGGGGCGCAGGAGAAGCTGCTGTCTCTGCTGGCAGCAGTTCAGCAGCGGCACGAGGACCAGCAGGGTTCTTCCTCTGCAGGGGTGTCTGCGCCGATCGACCTCGCTTCTCTGCAGCAGATGAGGGAGCAGCAGCAGGCGCTAGCTAAAGAGCAGGAGGCGTTAGTTAAAGAGCAGGAGAGGTTAAATAAGGAGCAGGAGGAGGTGAAGCGGGAGCAGGAGAGGGTGGGGCGGAAGCAGAGGGAGGTGGAGCGGGAGCAGAGGCGAATGGAGGAGTATCAGCGGCAGCTGGCGGGAAGGCTGCTGGCGGCTGTGGTGGCTGTGGAGGAGCTGAGGAGGGAGAGGTGGGTGGGTGGAGAGAGAAGGGTGGCTGGGGTGAGTGGGATGGGTGAGGGTGGTGACACTGGTGGTGATGATAGTGCCGCTGATGCTGGTGGTGATGCTACTGGTACTGCTGCAGGAGATGCAGCGAATGGACGTGCTGGGGGTGCTGCAGCGTCTCCTTCCTCCCCATCTGCCCCACCGGAGGCATCGCCACCTGCAGTTGACTATTGGGCGGAGTGATGTGAGGGGTGTCATTTGGGATGCCCCACAAGCTGGATTGAGGCAGGCAGGCAGGGAGTTAAAAGCGGCTTTAAAGCTCGCGTCTCAGATTTCCAACCTTTTAACACTTGGTTGGGTTTTCCCGTCTGTGATTGGGTAACGAATGACGAATTATTTGACGAGTGGGTGAAAAAAACACAGCGAACTCCCAAACAGTCGAGGCCAAAACAAACCAGGGTGGGTTGGTTTGGGTGGAAAACGAGCCAAGGGGGACAGGTTTGGTCCCGGGTTCTGTCAACGTTGAGTTCAGAGTCTCATATTTTCGAGAGTTGTTAACACTTGGTGTGCACGGGGAAGTGTGCGACAGCCAACTTTCCCAATCCACCCCTTGCTTTGGTGTGCTTTGCGACAAACTCTGCTGTTACCGGATTCCAACCGTTTAACACTTGGTTGGATGGCAGAAATATGAGACGCGAGCTTTAAAGTTGGATTGACGTGAGCAGGGTAGTTTAAGGCTTCCTTGAGAATCGGAGTAGACGAGACGAGTCATGAATGATTGCGGCTGTGGAGTATGGTAGTCCCAGCACACTGGAAGGGAGAGATGGGTGAGTCTGATCGTCGTGAGTCGATGTTTGAGTCTGACTGAAAAGTAGACTCATCAGACGCACACGTGAAGGGAGGGATGGATGAGTCTGGTCATGGTGTTTGTGGTACTAGTGAACGTGCTGGGAGGAGCACTACGAACCTGATTCTTTGTATGCGAAGCCATTCCTATAAATGTATGCGATGTATAAACTTCATCTTCATTTTATTGTTAATAGCCATTTTCCCAGGAAGCAGCCAACGTGTGTCCCGCACAACAGTCTGGGCCAAGGAACGCCACTGGGTTAGTACTCTTGCTGACGTACTCTTGCTGACGTACTCTTGCTGACGTACTCTTGCTGAAGTACTCTTGCTGAAGCCGTTGAATACATCGTAACCTTCGAATCCTGTGCCCTTGGGTATGGTTCTTATGTCCTCAGTCACTCTCAAGCGGACGCGCACCATGCTCCCAAGCACGATCACAAGCAGATGCACAGAGAATGCGCCTTTCAGTCACGCTTACGGCAGTGGTCTTCAGGACGGCGCCCTCTCCCCCCTTCCTCCTTCCGTGGGATGGATTTGTTCAACAAGGGGCGTATGCGGGATTCTCAGAGACTGTCTCAGAGGAGCATTACGCCAGCTCTCAAGAGGGTTACGTCAAGTTATTTTGAGTCTTTCGTCTCATGCTGAATAATTCTTCGGCACTAGACTTCGACTCTTAACTCCACGTGTTACGACGAGACGCTCGCCAATGAGTTACGCCACGTGGCTCCAGCAGCAATCAACCGCGAGCCAGGAGGAACGTGTAAGGACCTAGTTATGTGAAGAGGACCTAGCAGGGCATTCTGGTCGCAGGCAGTCCCTGGACCACGGAAACAAGAAACGTATCTACGCGCTCGGAACGGAATGGACGCAAGAAAAGTGCCAAACGTCGTTTCAACGCTCGGAAGATCGTCGTGCTCTATTCCGAGAAGAGGCGAATGACACCGAATTGGCCGTCTTTTCTCTATGCACTGAAAGCATCAACATGCATCCCACGAATCACTATGACGTAATATTTGACCTATCTAGGGGGACTTGCAAGGTGGGGCCTCGTACGCAGAGGTGTCGTGCTAATATCGATGGTGACGGAAATGCCTCTGAGGCGTCATCCATAACCCTAAACCCTGGTCCTTATTCTGCATCGTCTAGCATGCAGCCTTCAGGCTCGCTGGCCGCAGTTCGGGTTTCCGTAGTCATTGCCTTCCCGTGTGTCAAAAGGCCAATCTCTTAGCACGACATCGGAGATGCATCTAGCGGTTCGTCCTCGTGCATCTCCTCCGCAAACCCTTTTTTCAGTCGAAGAGCCACGTAGACAAGACCAACAGCGTGTTGGCTGCACATATTTCATGCACGTGGAAGATCAAAGTTCGGTCTAGCTGGAGAGTCACTACGAGTACACGTGTACTCGATGGATCCTCGTGAAAGGAAAATGAGGGAGCTGACGTCAGCAATCTCCCATTTCTAGAGGGGACCGACCAGGTGGGATGACTCGCTGAGAAAGAGGACAGGAAATCGGTTTTGAAATTTGCGAAAAACATGTTTAGCCCAGCCAAACAAGCCGTGAGCAATACTTTGTTGAGCTCAAAATCAGCTGCCCACTGCTGGGGTTACCAACCATAGAAAAACGATCTGCCTCGGGTGTTGATCCACAAACCTGTGCTCCTTCTGGGGTATCTCTCGCTTACGTCATCACCGCAAATTCCTCCCTGCCGCGAATTCATCCACCTCAAATTTCAACATTTCCTCCTCACTTCACATCACTTCAGGAATCAAGAATTGCCAATCCAGATTCGCCTCTCTGTATCTGTCTCCGCCGACTACATCTCTCTTGTTGTTTGCCTACTTGAGCCTGCGATGGCCGCTATTGCCTCTGGTCCTTCCACCGCATCTCTCGCTCGCAGCCTCTCCACAATCTCTCGTCCCGCGCGTAAGCACGCTACGACCCTGCTAGTGAGTGGCTCGTCGTTCGCGAAGGGTAGCGCTCCGAGCTTCCGCCAGGCGTTTGCCATTAAGACTGCTTCCAGGAGCGCGTCGGCGTCCACAAAGGGCGGAGCGATGGGTGCCAACGCATCCGCGGCGACTTTCGCGGGGAAGACCTTCCACGACTTCACTGTCAACGTAAGCCAGTTGTACTCGCAGGATCCCCAGTGAAACTGCGGTGCTTGTGTGAACCTCGCTAACATTCAAGTCGGTTTTAATGTTGATGCGACTCAGGAGTGATCGGCGCAGTCTTACCTGACCTGTTGCATCCCACTTATATCGCTTCTTTCTCGCTCGCGCGCAGGATATCAGCGGCAACCCCGTGTCGCTGTCGCAGTACAAGGGCAAGGTCGTTCTCGTCGTCAACGTCGCCTCGCAATGGTGAGTAGAACGACATGCGACGCTTGTTGGATCTCGGAACAGTAAAGAAGTAACCAGAGCGCCAACAAAGTTCGGGTAGACGTGGAATTGACTGCCAACCTTCTCCCTGTCCCCTCCCGCTTGACAGAGGTCATGCTTACTTGGTACTTCAGGCCCTTCGCCTTCCAATGTTGCTCTCCTGCCACTTCGGTTGTTCAGACGCTCGTCCATGCTCGTACCTCAATCCTGTTGTCGCGCGCTTTTCCCTCTGTACCATCCTTCGTAATCATCCGTTATCCCGAGGGCCTCGGCAGTGGACTCACCGATTCCAACTACAAGGAGCTGCAGTCGGTTTACGACAAGCTTAAGGACAGAGGTGAGGGATTGTGAGAACACTTGTGTCAAGGTTCACTCGAGTAACACTCTGCGCGGCTTACGCTCTTCCCATTCTCTCTCGGCTTACGTCGCCGCTCCTCTTCTCCCAGCTTTCCTCTTGTCGTGTCTCCTCTTGCCGCGTCTTTCCTGCCGCGTTCCTCTTGCCGCTCCCCCTCTTCTTGCTTCTGCTCCTCCCCAAACCTAATTTTACTCGCATCATGCCTCTTGCTTCCCGTACCTGCTCTAACCTTTTCCTCCTCCCATCTCTGATTCTCGTCCGCCAGGTTTGGAGATCCTCGCGTTCCCGTGCAATCAGTTCGGGTCGCAGGAGCCGGGCAGCAACGAGAAGATTAAGGAGTTCGCGTGCTCCAGATACCGCGCCACCTTCCCGCTCTTTGACAAGGTACGCGGTCCTATGGCGCGAATAAAATAGTCTTCGTTGCAGCAACGAGAAGATTAAGGACTTCGCATGCTCCAGATACCGCGCCACATCGCACTCTTTGACAAGGTATTGCTACCGTTATGGGGTAACGGGGTGACGTCTATGTGGCCGGAAGTGCGTGAGGAGTAACTCATGAGGTGCAGGCATACACTTCAAGTGAGACAGACCAGAAGAAGTCGAGAAAGAATGTTGTTACTAGAAGTTTGGTCTTATTGCATTCAAAATATGTCATGACGGCTATTAATCCAACATTACATACAAGCATGTCTAACAATCTCACTTCTCCGTCCCCTCTTGCTCTGCATGCAGGTGGATGTGAACGGGGCGAACGCAGCCCCGGTCTACCAGTTCCTGAGGTCGCAGAAGGGTGGAGGACTGCTGGGTGACTCGATCAAGTGGAACTTCGGCAAGTTCCTTGTGGACAAGGATGGCAAGGTCGTGGAGAGATACGCTCCTACCACCTCTCCTTCCGCCATCCAGGTAAGACTATGGATATAAGAGTTCCTGTCCTGATCTTTTCTGGAAAGTCTAGCTCAGGTTGTATGGATTTAAGCTGACATAGTTTCCTCTTGCCCTCGTTTTTTCTATGCAGGCTGACATAGAGAAGCTGTTGTAATTGAACTTCATTTGTATAGTGACTCCTGGTTATATAATGGATTGTAAAGAAATGAGAGTGTGTGCGATATGTACTGTTTACATTTTGTGTTGGCTAGCACGTGCTGCATTTCAGGGTGCCAATTATTTGAATAAATATGTGCAAAAACATATATTAAAAGAAAAACAAATAATCCGGCAGGGGAAACTACTTTGAAGTCGTCTGATTAACGAGCTAAATTCCACCAATGGCAGATTGTTGAGGAAATATGGGGTAACATTGCATCGTTTTCAATTATGCTCAATAGAACTCTTGAAAACTCCCAAACCGTATGTAGCTTTCCGTCACAGAGAATCGTGAAGAGAAACCCCAGAAAACAATTGGCGACCCAGGTGTTCAGTCATGCTGGCTAGGGCACGAGCCTGCTCTCTGCGCATCGAAAACCTGTCACCTGAGCTGAGACCTGACCACAACTGTTTCGGTAACAACTGGCCGCGAGGGGCTAACCTGCGCCAGAAAGTGCGGATTCACATTCGCCCGCCAACATCTACAGTTCAAGTAACCTGATTTAGCGCGGTCTGGTTGCTTCGCTTGTTCCAATCGCGCGATTCGCGAGCACCCCTGCAAAGCAGAGAGGCAATTCAAGCCAACCAGACACACCCCAGAGCGATATAATAAGCACGTCCGTCGACTAACCAGACAACTCAAGTCTTTCGTCTGTCAGCTTAGGTGTGGATTCATTCCTACGACTTTTTACTTCCGAGAGTTTGTTTTTCTCTCTAAGCGATTTCAACATTCCTCGACAACGAGACATCTCTTCGTCGTTGTTACCGTAGCGTCACGCGCAGTCCTACTGACAACAAATAGCCTTGACCTAGAATTTAACCATGGCGCGGTTGTTACTCGTAGCGTCGCTCGCTCTCCTACTGACAGTGGCCTCCGCGGCGCCAAGCGTCGTGACTGGACCCAACAACCCCGCAGTGTCCCTCGCAGCGGCGCAGGGCGAGAACGGAGTAGCAACGGAGGTACCCAAGGGCATCGAGCAGGCGGCGGCGGCGGGAAATCTGGACAAGTTCGAGGGGACGACGATCGTGAGCCCGAGCACGGACAGCATGCTGCTGGTGGACGTGAAGAAGGCCGGGTGGAACGCCATGAAGTGCCACAAGGACCTGGGCGCGCCCGGGCAAGGCGCGTGCACGCCCGCCAACTGCAGCAAGGGCGGCATCCCGGCGAAATGGAAGACGTCGAATCTGCTCAAGAACAAGCTCGGCGTGGAGATGTACGTCAAGGGTAACCCGCTCACGCTCAAGAAGGCGTCCCCGCAGACGTGCTGCAACACGTGCGCGTCGTTCAAGAGCTGCACGTACTGGCAGTACATCCCCGATATAACCATCGACGGCAAGAAGACGGACGGCGCGTGCTACCTGGTGCACGACAACATCGACTACTCGTGCGGCGAGCTCACCGCGCAGTACGCCACGGACTCCAAGCCCATCGCGCTGCAGGTGCGCACGGGCGGCGAGTGCAACCCCGCCGCGAACGTCGTCAACGACCCGCATCTGGTGGGCGCGTTCGGGACGCACTTCGACTTCAACGGGCGGCCCGACAAGGCGTTCTGCCTGCTGACGGACCGCGACCTGCACGTGAACATGCTGCTGCGCGGGTACTACTCGGACGACACGGAGAACGCGGCGCTCGTGGTGGACGGCAAGGCCGTGCACACGTGGATCAAGGAGCTCGGGCTCGTGTGGTTCGCGGCCGGCGCGGATCACAAGCTGCGCCTCGCGGCGCGCGGCGGCAAGCAGCAGGAGCGCGGCGACGGGTTCATGAAGACGATCGAGATCGACGGCGAGGAGATCCCGAGGATGGCCGTCGGCGACGAGGTGAAGACTGAGGGCGGCTTGACGCTGCGATTTGCCGCGCTGGAGAAGGAGGGCCCGTATGACGTGGACTACTACACGCTCGCGATCGACGGGCTCGTGTCGCTCGACCTGCGCCTGCGCGTCGCGAACCCCAAGCTGCAGACGCCAAACGATGCCGAGGCGCACATCAACGTGGGGATTGTCGAGCTGGAGCACACCGACGACGTGCACGGCGTGCTCGGCCAGACGTACCGCCCCGACCACGCCGCGCGCGCCGCGGATTTCCAGCGCCTGATCGCGAACCTGCACCGTCCGATCTCGTCGGACAGCGAGGAGGGCGTGGGGTTTTTGGACGGCACGCCGCGGTCGTACGAGTCGAGCTCCGTGCTGTCCGTGGACTGCGCGCACACCGAGTACCACCGCGCCAAGCAGCTCAGCCCGGTCGAGGAGTTCCCCAGGGAGCCGCTTCACTGAACGAAGTCGCGCGCGAGCTGGGCTCGCGGAATGCGATCATCTCGAGGTGATAGGTATCGCTGGTTTGGTGGGATCAATTTGCCTACGCGCTAAGCATGGCTCTGTATTGTATACTGGCCCGAAAACGGCCCAATTCTTTTGTTGTAAATGAGTTCTTGACATTCATTTATGAAAATATTTGGCATTGATGTTCAGCTTTCTGGACCATTAGTGGTTTGAATTGGGAAGGTTCTTCAAACGAGATTTGAAACAACCTGTAACCACTTCTCCGAATTTTATGAACCTATTACCAGTTGGTCTACCAGACGCTACCTATCACCCTTCCTCCAAGCAAACCCCACTCATAATGCACAACACAGGTTATTGTTGCACTTATGGCACACTTGCAAAAACCACAGTCGTGCTTAAGAGGCAAGATGAGTCCATGGGCCTGGCTTGGTTTAAAATTGCACTCTGTACAAACAGCCAAGACTTGAAAACAAATTGCAGGTGTGGTCACGGGGTATTAATACCGTACTAAGATGACATGGATGAGCCATGCATGGTGGGAGGGGGATGGGGCATTCATCACGAGTGTATGGTCTCGTCAGAGGGGCATGGCAACGTTCATGAACTTGCGCTTGCTGAAGGAGAGCCACCACTTGTTGGGCGAGCCGTCGGGGAGATACACCAGCTGCAGCAGCCGGTTGCTCGTCTCCTCCCTCACACTCTGCAGGTACGTCCGCAGCGTCTCTGGTCCGGGGAGAGAGGGAAGTGAGGGGGAGGAAGGGGTGGGGTTGAGGGGAGGGTAAGGGCAGGTACACCAGCTGCAGCAGCCGGTTGCTCGTCTCCTCCCTCACACTCTGCAGGTACGTCCGTAGCGTCTCTGTTGCGGAGAGAGGGGAAATCATAAGGGTTAGGGGTCGGGGGAGGATAGCTGGGGGTTCTAAGAAGGTGCAAGTGCGTCTACAGTCTCTGTTCCGGGAGGAGGAGGGAGGGAGGGGAAGGGGGTGGAAGGGGGAGGGGGTGGAGGGGGGAGGGTAGAGAGTGGGAGGCATGTGTGGAGGTTCGAGTGCAGGTAAAAATAAGTCCCCACAGCTTTTGAGGCATTAGAAAAATCTCCACACATAAAGTTGGCTGGGGAGAGTGATCAGGAGAGGCTTTGTGGCCCCACGCAACTGCATCCAGGCCAGGCGGGTGGAGGGCGCAGCAAACAAGCTAGCAAGCAGGAAGCTGGGATTGCCCAGGATGGGGAGGGGCTGCAATCCCAGGTTGCAACCCCAGAAGCTGACAACCCCAGGTTGATGAGCTTTGAGTCGACTCACATCACAAGCCACGCCACGCACCTGCTTCCAGGCGACTGGTCGGCGTGGCAAACAAGCCAGCGAGGGGGAATCCTGGGTCGCCCGGAATAGGAAAAGGCTCCAATCCCAGGTTGATGAGCAGTCTAATACCCTCAGCCTCGGAGGGGCAGGAGTCGATGCGCTTTAGAGCCATGTTGATGTAAAGCGTGAGGTAGACCAGCAGCTTGTCCGCTGGGCCGCGGATGTCAAAGCGGCGGAACAGCACGTTGGCTCGGAAGAGCGTGATTGCCTCGTCCACTATGTCCGTCTCCTCTGGATGAGTGAGGGTGGGGGTTGGGGGTGTAGGGGTGGGTTGGGTATTGAGAAGAAGGGACGAACGAGAAGGACTCTCAGCACGCTGGCTCGAAAGAGCGTGATTGCCTCGTCCACTATGTCCGTCTCCTCTGGGTGAGTGAGGGGAGGGCGAGGCGGCGGGAGGTTATGGGTGAGTGAGTTGAAGGAACGGAAGGGATTTATGGGAAGTGGCTCGAAAGAGGGTGATTGCTTTGTCCACTATGTCTGTCTCCTCCGGATGGTGGGGTGGGGTGGGGTGGGGTGAGTCAGGAATGTGAGGGAGATGGTTTTGACCTCGGAAGGGCAAGCAATGGAGTGAGAGATGAATGGATGGCTCTTCCGAGACAACAGAGCGATGGATCGAATGGCAATAACTTCGCGGTTCTCTTTCTCTCCTTCTGATCTCTCGTTGTTTTAACTCCCAAAGCCCTGTGTTGTGAGCACGCGGAGGCGTTGTGCGAAAGGTGGTTACCAGTGGAGGCATTGTGCGAAAGGTGGTTATCAGTGGAGGCGTTGGGCGAAAGGTGGTTAGCAGTGGAGGCGTTGGGCGAAAGGTGGTTACCAGTGGAGGTGTTGTGAGTGGGTCCTCTGGCGGTGGCTTTGAGCGGCAGCAAGGGGCAACCGCATGCAAACTCCACACCCTCCAAATGCGTGTAGGATGAGTGGTACACCTGCGGTTCTCAGGGGTGCAGAGTGGTATGGGGTGAGTGCAGTGCCAGGCACGAGGGATGCGGAAACATGCGGGGTGCGCCTGCTAGCACAGGTCAACACGCGAATTGTATCGCTCTGAGTAAGATGCGGGTGGTACTGCTCGCACTCTACAGGTACACTCTACGGATAGCGACAGGGAGGGAGGAACCACACGCGACAGGGAGGGAGGAACCACACTCTGCACTACAATTTCACTCACCATGTCGACACCTGATCGGTCGAGACTATCCGTGTTATCCCGATTTTGCTCTTTGGGACAGTCGGCGCGCTTTGAGATCCTTCACATTGGTCGAAGCGCGTACGGTGACGCTATTAGGGTCACTTATGATTGAAGGCGGAAGAAGGCAAAGCGAGAAACGGCTATTAAGAGGAGAAGGAGGAAGAACAGGAAATGTTGTGTTTGTCAGACTTGTTCCCCCTATCGTCTTTTCGTGGACGCAATCTCGGAAGAGGAAATGAGGAAGGAGGGCAGAAAAGAGCCGATGTAAAGGCAGCAGAGCGTGAGACTTAGTAAATCGTCGATGATGAAGCGGATTTGAGAATGGCTCTGCAGCGAACAAGAAAATGCGAGCCGATGCGGAAATGTCGTGGATTTTCCAGCCCCGAAAACCTACCATATGACAGAAATGCGAGCAACAAAGCGTCTCATGTCCCAGCCAGGAATCGAACCCGGGTCTGCACCGAGCTGATGGCAGGGTGCCATTCTATCTCTTTATTGACTCTTTAGTAAATGTACAATGGATACAAGGCAAATCCAGACACCTAGTGTATGGAAAGCAGGCTAATCCTATTGTGAGGCCTACAAATAGGCCTCTGAGATGTTTCAGTGGTCCTCTCCAAAGTAGGCAAAGTCAGCTGCAGAAAGAGAAGTCACCTCGGGTGGTGCGTGGTTGACGCCCTAGGTAAAACGAATTTGTGCACAACGACAAATAGTGCGAGCCTGCTCACGTTGATGGACCAGAGAAATCCGTTTGTAGAAGTTGGTCTCAAACAGCAGGGGAAGAGAATCCGTAGCACCACTCAACTCGCGGAGTTGTGAAGCCCCTTTTCGGCTGCATTGGCGAAGGAAGTTGTTGAACGATGAGCCGAAGCAACCGAAGGTTTCGATGACAAGGGGAAACAGTTTGACGTCCGGACGGTCATGAAGTGCTGCAGCATAGTGGGTTGTCTTCTCACTTTCACGAGTGGCTGCTGCTGAACCAATCACCGTAGCTGCGTTGGAGTGCGGAAACCCCTTTTGTGGATCAGCAACAGAAACATCTAAGGCCCAGGTGGTACCAGAGCTAATGTCGCGGCATGTGATGTCTGTGCGGCGGCCAGGCAGGAGATGATGGTCTTCCATCTGCGCAGAGAACCCAAGCTCCAGGGCAATGCGATGAACTTCTCGTTTGATTGCGTCGTGCACCTTTGTAGGCTCGTTGTTGCTAGGGCAGCGAAGGACATGAGAATGGATGGAAGGATCAGTGAATGGGGAGTTGCAGGTGCAGGTGAGTGAAGATGAAAGGTGAGGAAGAGGAAGGCCTAAGCGGATAGCTGCTGCAATGCGCCACTCGGTCTCTGAAAGCTGCATGTGCAGGGAGGATGGAGCCACAGTGAGCCAGTCACCTGCATGCGGGCCCTGCAAAGAGGTTAGACGAGCAAGGCGAAGCGGGGACGTTACTGTGGCTCGAACCTTCTCCAGCAAATCGGCTTCGAGGTGTTGGGAGAGGTGAGTAAAGAGTTTAGGAGGGTAGCCCGATTGAAGCACAGGCCATGATGGGAAGCGATCACGAATGTCTTGGGGAAGCATGGTCATGGTAGATGAGATTGAAGGGTCGAGGAGGTTAATGGAGTCCGTGGTGACGTAAGGGTGGAAAAGAGGAGCACCATCAGTGATGAAGTGGGTGGATAGGGTCGAAACTGCCTGCGCCCAGCTGCAAAGGTAACTGAGGGGGGAGATGGATGCAGAGCCGCGAATGCCGAAGCCACCTAAGCGGATAGGGAGTGAGGCTTGGAGGCGGGCCGATGTGGACTGTTCAGAGGTGGGATTCCAGTACTCGGGGCCCAGGAGCTGAGAGAAGTGGCTGAAAATGGTGCTGTCCCATGAAGAGAGTAGCTCTTGGATTTCGGGAAAAGGTGCGACAGTTCTGAGGAGGAAAGAAGGCCGGGCAGTGATGCATAAGGAAAGGATCCGTGAGGCAATCTGTGGGTCCTGCAGTTGATGTAGTAAAGGGAGGGAGGTAGTGAAAGAATCGAGCTTGTCACGAACTGTAGAGATGATGTAACCGTCGGAGCCGGTAGGAACGCCAGCGACAGTGAGACCGTTTGCAGCGACGGAAATACCCGGGGGCGGAATGCAGTGTTCGGGCAGGTCCATAGGGGCCCATAGAGAGCACTTAGAGGGTTGGACAGTAAGGCCGAGAGAGAGAAGGTGGGAGGTAAGGTCAGTGTATGCGGCAAAGACGTCTAAAGGAGGGCCGACCAAGTAGGTATCATCTGCGTATGAGGTAATGAAAATTGAGGCAGACTGCTGCTGGGTTGGTTGGATGGCTAGCTGCTGTGTTAGGGCGTAAAGGAAAGGGCCACAAGGGTCGCCTTGACGAACACCAGAAGCTGACTGGAATGTGTGGAGAAGGGGGCCGCTGCGGTAGTGGAGAGGTGAAGGGGTGGAGTAGAATAGGCGGAAGAAGGGAATGAGACTGGAGAATGGGGAGCGCCTTAATGCCTCAAACATGGAAACCCGATTGAACGAGTTGAACGCGTTTGCAACGTCCAGCTGAATCACCACCCAGTCTGGATGAAGGGAGAAGGCGGAGCACACTGCGTGCGACATAATCTCGATCCCGGCCGGAACTGCTACGCCAAATTGAAGGTGAGGAAGGAACGTCTCTCGCATCTGCTGCTTGAAAAGGAGAGTGATGCAGCGTGAAAGGAGGCGTGGTAGCACTTCCCCAATGGCGATGGGACGTACACCACCATGCGGTTTCTGTAGGGCCACGAGGTTCGAAGCGGTGTAGAAAGGCCTGACTGCAGGTGGAAGATCACCCTGCAGCCAGTTCTGGAATACGTGGAGGAGAGAAGGGAGATGCTGCTGGTGAGAGAGAAATGTGTTGAGGTGCTCAATGAACCACCCAGAAGGACCAGCAGCTGTGCCACGAGGGGCGGACTGTAGAGCGGCGTGGAGAACAGGGACGGTAAGCTGTGGTGCGGCTGCAGGAGTGAAGCTGTGTACCCAGTCAGGAATTTCTGCTGCAGCAGGTGGGTGCTTGGAGCCGAGGGCAGCAACTGTTTCTGATGATGGAGGAGCTAGCTCGCCAGCTTCCACTGCTACCAGTGACCGCGACCAGTCCCCGCATTTCGCAAACCGCTTCGCACGGTTGAGACGAGCCTGCAGCGCCGTAGAACGTGCCGATGCCATGTGCAGAGGTCTGGCGGCTGGAGTGGCTGCAGCTACGGCCTCACTGAAAAGAGACTGCCAGTCACCATTGATAAAGCGGCGCGCTAAGGAGGCACATGAAGAGGTAAGGGACTGCGTGGGAGCAGCGGCGGATGGTAGGCGCAGCAAGAGACGCGGAAATGCCAAGAGAATGAGGTGTGCAGCGACGTCAGAAGGCTGCTGTGCAAGGCGGCGCAGTGGAATGAGAAGTGCATCGAGAATGAGGAGTCGGATGCGGGAGGGGATTCGGTGGAGAATAGGGCCAGGTGAGACTGCTGGGCTGAAGAAGGAAGGCCAATCCCAGGAAGGAATGGCCTCCCAAGTGGCTTGAGGAATTGCAGGTCGATCTGCGGCTGCAGGCGCCGAGGTTGGGGTTGATGAGCGGGGAGGAGGAGGCCGAGCAGCTTGCTGACGTGTGGCGGTGTTGCGAGAGCAGGCTGGAAGGTGACGGGCCAGCGAACCTGGGTTGGCAAAGGTGCGTCGACATGTGGGGCAAGAATTAGGAGGTAGTGGGTTATCGGAGGTTGATGAGGGCGGGCAGGGTTGCGGGCATGGCTGCGTAGAGTGAGGGGTAGGGGAAGGAGGAGGGAGATCTCGAGAAGGTGAAGCAGCAGTTTCATAGTGTGATAGTGGGTGCGTGTTGTCGGCAGGGGCTGTGGGATCAGGAGCATCCGCTGTAGTCGTCGGAGGAGGTGTTGAGGTGGATGAAGGATGGGCCCGGGAAGTCGAGGGCTGAGAGTGAGAGGTTTCAGGCCGTGTTGAAGACGGAGAATCAGGAAGGGTGCCCTTCAGGACGTGCTGGAGAATCTCCTTTTGTTTTTCCGATACAATTTTCGGGGCTGGTGTTGTCGAAGGTTGCTGGGAATGAGCAGAAGATGGTTTAGGCTTAGGAGTAGGGGGTGGTGCAAGGTTTGATGGGGAGGTCGAAAGAGTCGCAAAGGCAGGAGTTTGTCGCGAACGGGCAGGCGGACGAGGAGAAGTGGGTTCAGAGTCTTGGGTTCCACGGCCCCTTTTGCGGCTTGTCATTTTGTTGGGTAGTAGGATCGTGGCATGTGGAGTGAATGTGGAAAGTGAGGAAGCATAAGAAGGAAGCTGGAAAATGAAATGTAGCTGTTAGGTGGTGTAGCGCGAGAGGTCTCGTGAAGCGAGGTTGCGGATGCTGTAGGGGCAGCTGCAAGCGAGGATGCAGACGCGGCGAGGTGGCGGGAAATTTGGGAGGTGGGGAGGGGCGGTGTAGTTGCCAAACTACGAAACGAGAGGTAAGCTAGCGCTTTTATACTTTCAGCAACGAGCTTGAGTGAGCGCGAGGCAAACTACGAAACGAGAGGTAAGCTAGCGCTTTTATACTTTCAGCAACGAGCTTGAGTGAGCACGAGGCAAACTACGAAACGAGAGGTAAGCTAGCGCTTTTATACTTTCAGCAACGAGCTTGAGTGAGCGCGAGGCAAACTACGAAACGAGAGGTAAGCTAGCGCTTTTATACTTTCAGCAACGAGCTTGAGTGAGCGCGAGGCAAACTACGAAACGAGAGGTGCTATTCTACCACTAGACCACTGGCACATTGGATGAAAAGTATAGTGTGCTTGTAAATTCATGACGTAACAGAAGAGGGGTGCAGTACAGAGAGCACAGGGGCCAGAAAGGAGAGAGGGGAGATTGAGGTGAGAGGGACGAGAGAGGAGTGAGGGTCGAGAGAGGGGAGGGGAGAGAGGAGAAAGGGGAGAGAGAGATAGGAGAAAGGGGCGAGAGGGAGCAGAGAGAGGAGATAGAGGAGAGAGGGAGCGTAGTACCTTGTCCGGCCCATCCGTTGTCCTCTCTGATCTTGACATCAAGTAACAGACACATCAAGAATCACTACAGCTTCCCACTTCTGAATGTCAGAACAATTCCATCCAACACAATAATTTCACAACAGCATTATCAATCACTACATTCCCGCGATCTACTTAGCGCCAGCCTTCCCAGTGAGCCCCATCTCAACGCGCCTGATCTCAAAGATGAGCATGCGCCACATCTTGAGCACAAACATCTCCGCCTCCTCGTCCAGTATCGGCTCCAGCAGCCCCAGCAGCGCGGCCCCGCCCACGTGCTGCTGCGTCTTGGAGAGAATGAAGTCCACCAGCGTGGGCTCCTCCTCCCCCAGGAACTCCCGGATCTTCCGTGCCACCCACGGCCGCATGCGCTGGTGCAGGGCGCTCTGAGGGGAGCAACAAGAGAAGGAGAGGGGAGAGGGCGAGGGTGGTGAGAAAAAATCCCCAGGAACAGCTGGATCTTACGTTCCACCCATGGCCTCATGCGCTGGTACAGTGCACTCTGGGAGAGGAGCGTTGGGTTAGTGGGGGGGGCGGGGGGGGAGGAGTGTTGGGTTAATCCGGGGGGGAGGGGGAGGGGGGGGGGAGGAGCGTTGGGTTAATGGTGGGGGGAGGAGCGTTGGGCTAATGGGGGGGGAATGAGCGTTGAGCCAATTGGTGCGGCTTGAAAGAGGATGGGTGTTGAGGGCGCATGTGCTGTTGCTGTGCAGTCCGAGCGATGATGGAAATGATAGAAGGGGAAGCGGGAAGCAGGAGTCAATCACATCATGGCCTCATCTCATCTTGTCACGAGCTCACCACAGCACAACCAAGCCCCAGGTCTGCTCACCTCATCATAGACGGTCCAGTTGATGGGCTCACCTCATCGTAGACGGTCCAGTTGATGGGCTCACCTCATCATAGACAGTCCAGTTGATGGGCTCACCTCATCATAGACGGTCCAGTTGATGGGCTCACCTCATCATAGACGGTCCAGTTGATGGGAACGGCAAAGAGCTCGTCCTTGCTCTTGGGAATGGAGTCGATCAGCGACTTCACATCCACCACCGCCTTCGGTCCCGCCTTCTCCTTCTCTCCCCCACCTGCACCCGCCTCTCCCCCTCCGCTCCTCCTCCTCTCCTCCTCCTTGCCCGGCCCGCCTCCCTGCGACAGTCGCTTGGCAAACTCAGCCGCCGCAGCAATGCTGGCCGCCAGACCTCCTGCACCAGCAGCAGCAGCAGCAGCTGGGGGGGCGAGAGAGGAACCCCCATGCCCACCACCACCGGCAGCAGCAGCAGCAGTGCCAGCAGCACCATCGCTACCCCCATCGTCATAGTCGATGGGAACGAGAGGGCGAAGTTTCTTGCGTGCCAGCTCCTCCTCGTCCTCCTCTGCCCCGAACACCGATGCCAGCGTGCGCGACTTCTTGGACGGTGCGGGTGCTGGGGCGCGGGTGGGTGCGGTGGAGGGGCGGGCTGCGGTGGTGGCGGCTGGCTGGGATGGTGGCGCTGGGGATGCTGCTGCTGGTTCCGCTGGTGACGCTGCCGCTGCTGCGTCTGCTGATGCTGCTTCGGGTGCTGGTGCTGCTGCCTCAGCTGGTGCTGCTGCTGCGGGTGGTACATGGGGTGGTGCGTGGCCCGCTGCTTTTTCAGAGTAAACGATGGGAGAGGGTTGGTAGGAGGGACGCGAGTAGGAGTGGAGAAATAGGGTGGTGAGAAAAAGAGGGATGGGGTGAAAAAAACAGGATGGTGAAAGCAACAGAAGCACGCAGACTGGGCAAGCAGAGGTGGTGGAAAACTGTGAGTTGGAAAGTGCAATCCCAAGCAGGACAGCCCTTCCTTCTTCCCACGGCCTTACCCCTTGCTACACCTTTGCACCACTGCCAACCGGGGCAAGTTCACAAAATATAGTACTGCGCGCCCCTCCCTGTTCTTGGCATGCACAGCCACTGCTTGCATCCGTGCGGCCGCTTCCGACTATCTACCTGCCGCTCCCTCCCTGCCCCGCCCACCCTTCTAGTTGTTTCTTTATGATTCTAAGAAACCAGCACGGCTGCCAAACCTGGCATGCCACAAACCCAACTCATAGAACCGTACCTGCGCGGCCCTCTCTGTCCTTGGCATGAGCAGCCACGGCTCGCACCAGCGCATCCACCTCCGACTCCCTACCCTTCCCACCCTGCTAGGTTGCAGAATCAACAGTGCTGCCAGCCATACCATGCTACATACACAGGCAACCCAAAGTTCCTTACCTGCTCGACCCTCTCTGTCCTTGGCATGGGCAGCCACGGCTCGCACCAGCGCATCCACCTCCGACTCCCTGCCCCTCCCTCCCTGCCGCGACCCCCCTGCTCCCTCGCTTCCCGCCACCTGCCCTGCCTGCGCCCCTCCAGGGGACCCAGCCGCTGCAATAGGAGCGGCAGAAGGCGGGTGGAGGGACGGCAGGAGGTCTGCGAGACTGGGCAGAGAGATCTTCACTTCGGGGAGGGGCGGGGGTGCAGGCGCAGGTGGTGATGCTGGGGCTGCAGCACTGGCAGGTACTTCTGCTGCTTCGGTATCCGCTGCTGCTTCTGCTGCTGAAGCAAACCCATTGGTCGCTTCGCTCTTGATCAACCCGCCTGCTCCAATTCCGTCTGCACCACCCACCCCACCTTCATCACCCGCCATACCCCCCAGTGCTGCTGCCTCCGCACCTGCTGCACCAGCAGCTTGGCCTCCCAGCAGCACACTGGCCTCCCCCACCACCTCGCTCACAAACGCCACTGCCTCCCTCCTCTGCTGCTCCTCCCTCTCCTTCGCCTCCTCCCTCTCCCTCTCCTCCTTCTCCCTGTCCCTCGCATCCTCCTCCTCCTCCCTCGCCCTTACCCGCCTCCTCTCCTCCCAATACCCATCCCTCACCCTCCTCCTATAAATCCTCTCCTCCTCCTCACTGTCCTCCTCCTCCTGCTGCCGAATCAGCGCCCGCCGCTCCCTCTCCGCTTCTCTCTCTCGCTCTCTCTCATACGCCTTAGCCCGGTCCTTCTCCTTCTCCTTGTTCTCCATCTCTCTCTCCCTCTGATCACACAGTCTATCAAGCTCTCTCAGGTTCATCTCCCTGTCTCGCTCCCTGCGTCCCCTCTCCCTCTCCCTCCTCTGCTCCAGTCGCTCATACTCCCTCTCCTTGCCTCTCTCCTCCCGCTCTTTCTCCCGCTGCTCCCTCTCCTTCTCCCACTCCTTGGCACTCTTATGCTCGCGCGGTTTCTCCCGCTCCCTCTCCCCGTCTCTCTCCTTCTCCCTATCGTGCTCATCCCCCCTGTCTCTCTCCCTGTCTCTGTCCCTCTCCCTGTCTCTCTCCCTGTCTCTGTGCCGGGACCGCTCGTGGCCAGCATCATCGTCAGAATCAGCATCTTCCCTCTCTCTCTTTCTGCCCTCCCGTCTGTGCCCGTCACCTTGTTCACTTGATTCTGGAGGAGTATAACACATGGAAATAACCGATATGCAGCCACGGAAGTGGAAAACAGAAGGGAAAACAAAAATTAAAAAAAAGAACGGAGACGAAGAAAAAGATAACAACATATATAAGGCAAACTGATGGTTAGTGCAGTGCCAAACTGGGAAGCAGTTATGAGTGGCAAAAACAACATTAGCAAGCGTGCAAGATCACACACACCAAACACATGCCATCACACGTACGCAGCCACACACAATCTCTCTGAAAACCCAGCAAAGAGTGTGTTGTTTTGTGATCACCGACACAAGCACAGCACCCACCAGCAGCAGACGTGTCATTCTCCTTGCTCGCATCCTTGAGAGGCGGTGGCGGTGGTGGTGGCAGCAGCTTCGCCCTGCAGAGGGACACATGCAGGCAGAGCGCAGCAGACAAGGAGAATCAAGAGAAGGGGAATCAAGAAAAGGAGAGGTACGACAGGGCAAACAGATGGGGGCGTCAGCAGGGCAAAGTCCACTCAGCCATCACAACCCCAAAGAACTGGACAGTACAACAAGACCAGCACTCACTCTAAACCTTTTTTTTGAAAATTGGACCCTCAGCCCTCCACACCCACCCCTTCACCATTCTCCACCCATCTGTTACCTCTCTGCACCCATTCTTACCTCTCCTGCAGCATGCCATTAAGCTTCGCCAGAGCAGCCTCATCCTTGTCCTTATCTTCAGGTGTCACCAGCCCAAACACCTTCGCCTCCTCCTCCTTCCTCCTCTCCTCCTCTTCCTTCTCCTCTCCCTCCTCATCCTTCTCATCCTTGCCCTCTTCCTTGCTCCCTCCCTTCCCCTCCTCATCTTTCTTCGCCTCCCCTCCCGCTTCCCCTGCCTTCACCCCATCAGCCTCCTCACTCGTCTCGTCCTTCCCATTCGCCTTTTCCCCGTCGGCCTCACCCTCCCCTCCAGCCTTCCTGCCCTGATCAGCCACCCCTTTCCGGGAAGCTTCGAGGGCGGCAAAGGAGGCTTTCCTGGAAGTTACCACCCGCTCTAGGTACTCCCTTGTGGCTGCATTCACGTTCAACTGCCAACATGCGGTTGGGGTTGTGTGGAAGGCGGAAATGGGGGAGGTGGAAATGGAAAATGGGGGCGGGGAGTAGGCAGGTAAGAGAGGAGACAGGGAAAAGAGGCAGGGGGATAGGGGAGAGGGGGAAGGGGAGGGAAGGAGGAGGAAGAGCAAGCATCATGGACTTACACTAGCTCGCGCCCAATTACAAGCTGGGTGTGGATGGGCACGCAGCAGCAAGTTCACACCACATCATCACTGCACATAAGAGCACCCACCAGCAGGTTCTGCCCATCGATCTCGCGGCGGTTGAGCAGGCGCAGGGCGCGCAGCACCCCATCAGCCGTGTCAAACTCGCAGAACCCAAACCCCTTGGGACTGCCGCTCGTGGGGTCCGCCGCCCGCTTCCAGCTCCTCAGCGGCCCGCACAGCTGATTGGAGGGGGGAAAAGGAGTGGGGTATGGGGGGGAGGGAGAGGAGCGACTGTGTTAGGTGCGTGCATGCCCCCCCTTAAGACTGCCACTCGTGGGGTCCGCCGCCCGCTTCCAGCTCCTCAGCGGCCCGCACAGCTGATTGGAGGCGGAAAAGGAGTGGGGTAAGGGGGGGAGGGAGAGGAGCGACTGTGTTAGGTGCGTGCATGCCCCCCCTTAAGACTGCCGCTCGTGGGGTCCGACGCCCGCTTCCAGCTCCTCAGCGGCCCGCACAGCTGATTGGAGGCGGAAAAGGAGTGGGGTATGGGGGGGAGGGAGAGGAGCGACTGTGTTAGGTGCGTGCATGCCCCCCCTTAAGACTGCCGCTCGTGGGGTCCGACGCCCGCTTCCAGCTCCTCAGCGGCCCGCACAGCTGATTGGAGGCGGAAAAGGAGTGGGGTATGGGGGGGAGGGAGAGGAGCGACTGTGTTAGGTGCGTGCATGTCCGACGCCCGCTTCCAGCTCCTCAGCGGCCCGCACAGCTGATTGGAGGCGGAAAAGGAGTGGGGTATGGGGGGGAGGGAGAGGAGCGACTGTGTTAGGTGCGTGCATGCCCCCCCTTAAGACTGCCGCTCGTGGGGTCCGACGCCCGCTTCCAGCTCCTCAGCGGCCCGCACAGCTGATTGGAGGCGGAAAAGGAGTGGGGTATGGGGGGGAGGGAGAGGAGCGACTGTGTTAGGTGCGTGCATGCCCCCCCTTAAGACTGCCGCTCGTGGGGTCCGACGCCCGCTTCCAGCTCCTCAGCGGCCCGCACAGCTGATTGGAGGCGGAAAAGGAGTGGGGTATGGGGGGGAGGGAGAGGAGCGACTGTGTTAGGTGCGTGCATGCCCCCCCTTAAGACTGCCGCTCGTGGGGTCCGACGCCCGCTTCCAGCGCCTTAGCGGCCCGCACAGCTGATTGGAGGCGGAAAAGGAGGGAGGGGGAGGCTGCCGGGTGGAGGGTAAAGAGCGGTGAGTTGGTGCTACGTGCATGTATGTAGGCATGGACTAGAGTGTCACCCTTGGGACAGCCACAGGTAGGGGGTCCGACGCCCGCTTCCAGCTCCTCAGCGGCCCGCACAGCTGGAGGGACCGGGGGGGGGAGGTGTGGAATGGGGGAGGCAGAGTGGGAGTTGGGGAGATACGAATGGGGGGAGCGGGTTGGGGGGGAGAGAGGAGTGAAGAGGGGATGATGGCAGCATGTTGACAGTTGGGCTCAACTCGAGAGTAATCCTTGGAGCCACGGCCACTGCCCCAAGGAGTGGAGTGCGGCATGGAGTGGAGTGGAGTGGGGCATGGAGTGGAGTGGAGTGGGGCATGGAGTGGAGTGGAGTGGGGCATGGAGTGGAGTGGAGTGGGGCATGGAGTGGAGTGGAGTGGGCTGTGGCTCGATTGCAGCTCCTGAGGGGTCTTGTGGACGCGAGGTCCACTCCAAGCAAGTATTGTATGGTATGGATGGAGGGATGGCAGTAGCGTGGGCTACAAGAGGATGACACATGGAAGAGGGCATTCTGGGTATCCTCCCCCCCCAATCCCCTCTCCCCCTCCCCCCTTCCCGGCCCTCTTCTCTCCACCTCGCCGCCTCCTTTTTCCCACTGGTGACCTTCACTTGCAATAGTCTAACAGAAAGAAAAGCAGCCACCACGGTTTCCACATTTAAGGTCATCCATTTGTGCCCTCCCATTCCTTTTTCCTCTCTCCTGCCTACTTCCCCCTCCCCTCCCCTCCCCTCCCTTCCTCCTCTCTCCTCCTCTCTCCTCTCTCCTCTCTCCTCTCCCCTATACCCTCTCCCCTCTCCCCCTCCCCCTCAACCTCCCGCACCCCCCCCTTCCCCCCACCCGCCTCACCTCCAGCAGTTTCACCACCAGCGTATCGTCAACAGAGGGCGCGAGCTTCCCCACATACACAGTCGTCTGCACCTTCTCCCCCCCCCCCACCCTTCTACTCTTCGACCAAACCATCCCCTCCCCTCCCTTCCCCCTCCCCAACCCTCCCACTAGCCCTCACCTCCAGCAGCTTAACCACCAGCGTGTCATCAACAGAGGGCGCGAGCTTCCCCACATACACAGTCGTCTGCGCCTTCTCCCCCCCCGCTCCCCCAGTTCCCCCCGCGCCTGCCCCTCCCCTCAACGCAGCAGCAGCCAGAAACGAGCTCAGAGGCGCGCCTCCCCCGTGCGGGGGCGCGGGGAGGCGCATGTTGGGCGGGGGGAGGGAGGGCGGACGCGCCAGCGCGTGGGGGAAGGGGCTGGGCGCGCGGGGCATTCCCGGGAAGGGGAAAGGGAGGGGGGAGGCGCCGGGGGGCGGGCGGAAGTGGTGCATTGGGGCTCCCGGGGGTGGGCGCATGAAGATGAAGTGATGCATTGGCATGCCTGGTGGGGGGAGGGGGTTGGGGGGAACCGGGAGGAGAGGGGAGTGGGAGGGAGGAGATGGAGGACAGAAGAGGGGAGAGGAGGAAGGGGGTAAGAAGGAATATAACAGTCCACGGATTCACAAGAAATTAAAACTCACAAATTGTATGGCAGATTATACCATCAACAACACCATATACAAGGACTTTCTCGCATATGCAAATGGATATTATTGTATGCAAAAGAAGATTACCATTGCAGACGATGAATACCACTGTTGATATTTAACATTATTCTATGCGAATGAGTAGTACCGTTTGTGAATGAACATTGCATTGCATGCACATAAATTAACAATTTCACTACCACATGTGGATGCAAAGCTGCTCGCCATACACGACCCACCAACTCATAATCCCAGCTCACCCGATAATCAGGAATCTATTTGCCTGCCTGCCTGTCTGCCTGTCTGGGTGCATGCCTCTTCCCGCCTGCGTGAAAGCCTGTCATGGACTGGTGAATCACTCTTCTTGGTGCATGCAGCACTTCTTCCCACAATCGCAAGTGGCTCATAAACGCAAAACACCCACAATAGGATGTCCAAAACCCTGACACCTGACAAGAGCCCCTCTTACCGGAAAATCAGTGTAGGTGAGTGTCCCGCTGTCTGCTCGCATTCCCGCATGGGCTTGCCAGTCACGAGCTGGCAGAGGGCTCATCCCCCCTTGGCAAGCACGTAAGTACCTCAGCTCAATGCTTCGCCTTTTGCCTTTGAAATCGTAACGGAAACAGCAGGCCTGGCCTGGCCTGGCCTGGCCTGGCTTGGACAGACAGCTCACTGCTCCTTCCATGCACTAAGGACGCTATTAGCGTGTTCTTTGGCTTGTGCGTAACCACACAAGTCTTCAACACGCTACTCATGCAAAGAGCGTTCAGACTGAACACTAGCTGATGTGACGGTGCTTTAGGGCACGGAGGAAGGAGTGGGGCGCGGTGAGGAACGGTGGAGGAGAGAACGGTGCAGGGAGGTGCGGAGAGGTGACGAGGAGAGAGAAGAGAGAAGGGGTGTACGACGAGATGAGAAGACGGACAGGAGACGAGAAGGAGACGATGACGAGGAGGGAGATGACGAGATGATCAGGAGACGTTGGGGGAGAACGAGAACGGTTGGAAGGGACAGGGGGGGGGGGGACAGAACGACCAGACGATCTAAGCAAAAGACATACCGTCATGTGGGTTTGAAGGAGTTGAGTCGGCATGGCAGCATCAGCACCACCACTCATCCATATGGACGCGTGACTGTGTGCAAAGAGAAAGAGCAGCGCTCGGTTCCCCATATTAGGGTTTCCTTCCCGTCCCCTTCTCTTCGAATCACGGTGAGCATAAAACTGAATTACGTAAACATTCTACAGATCTAAGGCGAGCGGAAGTTGAGAATTAATGAGGGGAAAAGAGAAACAAACTAATAAATCGCGGCGTCAATACCTGGCGGGGGCATGGCTCGCATCCCCATGGGAGGCGGAGGCGCGCTCGCATAGCCTGACGTGGACGGCGGCGCGCCCATGCCCATGGGCCGGCCGGCAGACGGAAATCCCGAAGACGGCACGGGTCCTCCTCCTCCTCCCCCTCCTCCTCCTCGCCCCGCGCCGCCGGCCTGATTGCCGTCGCCGCTGCTCATTCCTTATCGCGACGCCTTCACCGACGTAAGTATGTCTCCAGCTATGGGACTTCAGGGTCGAGTCCGAGCAGCGGGATGGAACTCAACGGTCCTCGCATGCAGCTTAACAAACCGTATGATGACAAACCGTATCTGTCGTCGCGAGAAGCCTAAACTGAGAACCGATCCAAGTAAGCAATCCCTAGACTAGAAAATTGCCTTTGGAAATGGAGCAGATTTCAAGGTTTCTGAAAACCTCAAGAACAATCTGACGGCTGGAAAAAAAGTGAGCAAGAAGAACTCTAGATGCTCAATCTGCAGATTTGAGAGCGCGTTCCTTGAATGTCGAGACTCCCAACAATACACATGACATTCAACTCTGTCATTCCTCAGGGCGGGTCAGGCCTGGTTCGTTTTCAGTTCAAGTATCACTGTAGCAGTGTCCTCGTTGCATTGCAACTGTACAAGACAGAGACAGAATATGACACTCAAATGAGTTTGCGACGGATCGAGGCACAAGCGGCATTCTCGAGGCCATTCTCCACTATCAACGCTTGCCACTCCCTCTTCCACCTGAACTTCTCAATTGCGCTGCGATCATGCCCGCGACCAGCAGCGCACTTTGCGCCGGAAAGGCGTTTTCACCGCCTGCTGCATCTTCTTGTTCGCCCCCGCGAGCGCGATTGCCTGGTAGCCAATCAGCCGTTCCGGAACTGTGCGTATCCAGGTCGCGGCTTGCCGCTTTCCCCGCTGCTTCGTCTATTCGCCTGCCTCCCTCAACCGTCGCCGTTTCTTCCGCTCGGTGCCGTCACTCTCGCCGCGGGCTAGCCCGCTGCTCCTTGCGGACCAGCGACCCAACCATGGATCGCCACGTGTACGCTCTGGATTTCGACGGCGTTCTGTGCGACAGTTGCGGAGAGAGCTCGCTGTCCGCCGTGAAGGTGAGGCGCGGCGATCCCGAGGGAGGTAGCGCGGATCGACGTCTGGTAATGAGTCGAGGCGAGGGAAATCGCAGGTCAGATGAATCCAAAGAGATGCGAGGAGATGATGAGATTTCGAGGGGAGGTGACCTGTGTGGGGTGATTGCGAAGAGCAGAGGAGTGAGTAACGGTGTATGAGGTGACTGTAACGAGCGTACGAATGAGTGACATTATACAGCTTGACTAAAACAGCCCTTTTGCCATTCTCCACAACTGTCCACAATTCACCCAATCAACCCCCACTTCCCCTTTCCCCCCCTTCTTTCGAGCTTGCCGATACGCCATGTGCTCACCCCAGGCAGCCAAATTGCGGTGGCCGTCACTCTTTGCTGACGTGTCTGCTGACGTGGAGGGGACGATTCTGAAGCAGATGAGAGAGGTGAGGCGAGGTGAGGCGAGGTGAGGAGGAGTGATGTGGAACGTTCAGGCGTCAGCAGACCTGGCGCTGACTGAAGAACTGATTTGTGATTGAGAGGAACTTGGCTGTGAGCCTTGGCTAGGGCCTTTGGTGGAGGGAGGGAGGGAGGGAGGGATCTAGGGGACCGGTTGCCAGAGGCTCTCGCCTCTCATGATGCACATGACGTCGGCATTACGTGGTGTGGTGCAGCCAGGGCAGGAGTACAGCTGGTGTAGTTGCTTCTTATTCCGAAAACGCGGGAATGTGAGAACCCAAGCATGTGAGAATCTGAGCTTGTGAAATGGCTAAGCGTGAGAATGATATGATGGTGTGAGCATGCCCCCAATGTGTGTGAACCCATTCACTGCAGGTGCGGCCTGTGGTGGAGACGGGGTATGAGAACATTCTGCTGGTGCGTCTGCTGCTGGAGATGGCATGTGAAGACAAGCGCCAGTCCCAGGTGAAAGGCACAGAAGGTAGTCTCAGGTGAAAAGAACAGAAAAAAACTGTAACATGAAAACGACAATGGGTCTTTGTACATGTGAAGTCATGTTGCGTGAGGGAATCAGGAGAAGCAATGAGCATGTTCATGTTCATATGCACCTGGACATTCACATGCACCTGCGAGTTCGCATGCGAATGGACATGCACATTCCTCTTTCTTTACAAGCTTTCACGCATTCCTTCCCGGCGTGGCTCACATCACTCCCTTCACTCCCCCCACTCTCCTCTCAACCATTGCTCCCCTCACACCCCTCTCTGCCCCCCATCAGCTGTCCAAGTCAGGCAAACTCAACCTACAAGCCATCCTGAGCGGGTGGGAGGGGGAGATCAAGCCAGCAGTGATGGCGGAGTGGGGCGAGGAGGGGCGGAGGGAGGAGCTAGTGGAGCTGTTTGGGGCGGTGAGGGACGAGTGGATGCGGGACGACCTGCCTGGATGGATTGCCGCCAATGCAATGTATGCCGGCGTGCCTGAGGCGCTACAGAAAGCAGAGTCTCCGCTGTATATAGTCACCACAAAGCAGGTGCGTCTTTGTCTTCTATGCTCACAGCACAACACTTCCTCCCCCCACTTACACCAGACCAAGCTCCTCGCTTGCATGCATGCACACCTGCACACACCTCCCCCCCCTCCCCTCGCACATCCGCAACCTTGCTCTGTGTGTTTCCACTTCGTTGTGCCGCCACCAGTTGGGTTTGCCACGTTAACAACCGTGCCAGAGTACCTTCAGCGCATCCCTGCTTCATGCAGGCCGCTAATCCAAGCCTTTGTATATATATAAAAAAAAACTCCAAGAATCTTTACCTTCTCTGTGCGCCCCTCCCTGTGCGCCCCTCCATGTGCTCCCAGACCCGATTTGCCCTTGCGCTGCTGCGCGAATTAGCGGGCGTTGATTTCCCAGAAGACAAGGTCTTCGGGCTTGGTACCGGGTGAGTGGTGTCAGGTACTATAGACACAACCCAACAGGGATGGGTACTGGCTTAAGGACTATGGACAGCTTGTGGGAGAGGGACCTGTTGGATGGGTAGTACACTCTCGCAATCTTTATGGGTGGGCAGAAGAGCATAAAAAGCCTTATGTGTTGGCCTTATGTAACAACAGGTATCGTCACCTGGCCTTATGCGTCACGGTTTCCTATACATGCCCATCCTTCCCACATGCTTGCACCATGCCTTGTACTTTCTCCCACTCCTCTAGGCTGGGAAACAGCCTCCCGTCCATCCAATCCTAATCCTCCACACCTAGGGGTCCTATAATGCCTGGCCCTGCCTCGCTCCCTTGTCTCCTCCAGGCCCAAAGTGCAGACACTGCAACACCTGCAGTCGCTCCCTCAACATGAAGGCTGCTCCTTTCAGTGCGTCACCCCTTTCCATACAATTTTTCATGTTTCCACGCATTGCTTTTCCTCAAATCTGGCTCGAAGGTTCCCGCCGTTTTGTCTTTGTGGTTTTCAGCAGCAGAATGCGTGCCTCCTCACAACTCTCATGCTTGCCTCACCTGTAGTTGTGCTGATTCCATGGCAGCTTTGTGGAGGATCGACTAGCCACGCTGCGCAATGTCATCAGCACACCACAATTGGATGGCTGGCATCTGTACCTAGGTACGGTTGTCCGCATGCTTGGTGCTGTCACTGACACACTGATTGCTCAGTCTCGGCTCTTCTCTTCTCTACAACAGCTCTCCTGTCGCAAAATGATTCAGTCGGTGTGTCTTAGCCCGTCTTCCCCAACTGTTGATCTCACTCAACACATGTAACTTCTTGTCCTTGTAGGCACATGGGGCTACAACACAGAGCAGGAGAGGCAAGATGCAGCACAGACTCCCAGAATCCAGATAGTTGACCTGCCTGACTTCTGCGGCAGCCTAGAATGAAGGGGGAGCCTTGCGGTTAGGGCCCAATCGTTGTTACTGGTACGGTATCCCACATGAATGTGGTTCAATTATCAGTAACACTTGCTCGCTCTTCAGAACGCCAGAAACACTGTTGGGCATGAGGTGCCCATCAGACTTGGTCAAAATTGGCATCTCTAGTCATGCATCAGCTCATTGCCACCCCCCTGCCAGGACAGTTCAGTGGTTAACCTTTGATGCGATTGAAACACTATCTAAGCCCAATTTGATACAATACAGCAATGCATCAACAGGCAGCCAAACCATTATCAGAAATGGCAAGACTAGGCACTTTGCTGTAGTCTTGATTGCAACCGCTCCCTCTCCCTTGCAAGCTGTTGATGAAGGGGGCGAAATGGGGAGGCAGGCACAGAACGTGGGAAAGGTGAAAACGAAGATTGCAAGAGTGCAAGTGATTGACTAGGGCATCATTAGGTATGGTTGCATGGAAAACAAAAGCAACAGATTGGATGGAAAATTGGAGAGGCGAGGCACACCTATTAGGGTGCATTCCTGGCACACGTCTCAAAAACCTCGTGTCACAAAGTCGAGTCACAGTGCTGTGCAAACAATTGACCTGGAGGTTTCACTGACTTGTGACGCCTCCTTTTGAGACGCGACTTTGCAGTAATGTACCCTTAAACCATACATAATTACTCTCTCTCCCTCGCTTTCCCTCCCCACCTTTTCCATCCTCTGCCACCCTGCAATGCTCACTCGTAAGCTCACTCTTCCTTCCTCTCCCTCTAGCAAATGATGTCACCTGCCACTCCTTTCCAACCATCTCAGTCCATCGCCTTTCCCATCTCTCCATTCATGAACGCATTGTAAGATGTTTCTTCCTCATTTCAGTCACATTTGCCTTCCAGCCATTCAAACCGTCAGAACTTCTTGGGGACTCCCACTTCCCTGATAGACAGTGACCGACTGAGACCAGAGAAGGAGAAATGCACGTGCTGCTAGGAATGATGGATAGGACTTACCACTTTCCTCACTCGCTCGTTGGCTTCAGGCGAGCCTCCAGTCACATTCTCTGGCCTATATGGACTCGGAACCTGAACCTCGTCCATGACAATTATTTTTGTCTTGTCCCATTTGCAAGGCAACCTGCATCCGCATCACAGCATGAGTAAGGAGAACGTGGAAACGGGGAACGAAATATACAATTTAACAACAGCAGTCGTGCATCCGAGGTTTATGAAAGCATCTCACGTTTTACATAGGGCGAAAAATATGTCTTGAGCCTCTGCAGTTACCCCGACTCCTATTCTTTCCGCTTCGCCCTCCGCTTTCCTGTCATCAGGTCAGACGAAAAGCAGTCAGAGTTGAATTCAGGCTAAATCTAAAATGCAACCGCAAAAGCCCTTGAATTCTGGAGTTATCTAGGTCTTACCTGACAGCGGCGTCCTCCTTCGCGTGCAATACTGCTAGGTCTACATACGGAAGCCGAAGGGAGGCGATCTCCTCAGTTTTTCCCAGAACAGAGAACTCCTCGATCCGATCGGCCTTTATGAATCGAATGTTCCTCTTCGGTCCCCGGCTGTTTAGATCTTGTGTGCAACGAGTTAAGGAAGAAACCCTAGAACGATGGAGCGGAAGAGCAGAAAGCAGTTTGCGTACAAGACAGGATACAAAGCAATTTCGAAACATCAAAATGGGATTGTAGAGCGTAAATGTGGTGAGAAGAAAGGGAAAGGGTGAATTGTTGAAAGGATATGAAGTATGACGCAATTTGTGGAGGCATCGAACGCGAGGACCTCCCCTTCCAGCTGCTCCCCTAAGGTCGTCTTTAGCTTGAGCTTGCAACCTACTTCGAAGCCGCTGCCGGGGCCATCCATGAAAGAAGCTGAGGAATCAGCGGGTACGCCTGCAGGACCAGACTTATCATTCCCTAATTAGCACCGAATGCATTCCCAGGAGATGAAGGATCCACCTGTTGCGACCATAACACCAACAAAGTATATACCAGCCTCAGCAAAAATTACTTCCACAGACAGATGCAGACCAGCAGAATCTGCTAACTTCCACTCTTTCCCTAGCTCTTCCTTGTTGCTAGTTTCAAGTCCGTCCGTCCCTTGGCTCTCCTGATGGCTGGATGATCGTTTCACCCGACGATCTCAACAACCACAGCTCACAACCACAGCTAAAGCGGCTGAGCTACACTTGTAATCAATTATGGATTTACACAACAAATCTATACCTAAAGGAAAATCTCGTTCAGGCTGCTGAAAGAACCTGTAAATCTCTTGTTGCGTTATACTTACGTGCTTTCCATATGAGCTTCTTTCATATGTCCGAATATATGGTCCTGCTATTTGGTTTTTCTGTGTGATAATGAAAAAACACCTACCATATTTTATTTGTAAATCCTACTTGAATCATTAGTTTTTTCGCTTTCCCATATAGATACCTGAAAACGTGTGGCCTGTATCTTCTAGGAGTGGTACGAATTCAGCCTATAAACAGTTTCTGTCCACAACAGTTACGACTGAGACAGGGCTGATTTTATCAGGGTAATTACCCTAATTTCAGGGTGATTACAGGCTTCTCACCTGGTGAACCCTGCAATTTCAGAATTTCTGACTTGTGAACTCTGATCCATTCAGAATATTGCTTTAGCGAACCCTGAAATATTGTATCTAGGCTCAGAGTAGTGTTCTTACTGACTCTGTCAATGTAGAGTGCGCGTTCTGTGGACTCTGAATCTGACCTTATCGGTAGGAAGTTTCTCGGAACTTTCGTTCCAATTATCCCCCTTCGAATTGATCGCAGTACAGCCAGCATGTGAGCGACGGACAGCAGCATGTCTGACAGGTGATTACACTAGATGTTTGTTACTTTCACAAAGTCGGAATAAGTTGTTGTACTGTCGTAATTGCGTGTGCGTGAAGTTACCAGCACTTTTTTGCGTTTCGTACAGCGATGTTGACGACGTTTAGGTACTCGGCGAATTAAGAATTTGGTCTGTGGTATCGAATCGAAATGTTTTGTTGACCAAAATCGCTCATCTCTTCCCCGCACTTAAACGAATGGAAAAATAAACTATTTGGTTAAACTAAACGGTTGGGAATTAGCGCGCTCACAGTGTGCGCGAAACACAGCGCACTTTACGCAGAGCAATACTTTTTCCCCTGTAATAAAGAGCGCGTTACTACTTTGAACTTCGATTTTCGACCCTGAACAATCAGAGTTATATACTTTTCAACCCTAAGCAATCAGGATAGCATCATTCTGAAAAATGTGCACTCATAATCGAGGGGAAATTTTTTTCCCGGAATCAGGGGGGCCTAATATGAAACGTCAGCCCTGGACTGAGAGCGTATCTGCATGTCTAATGTGTACTAACATTCACCAAAAAAAAAGTTTCTGTTAGCATGAAATTATGAAGTACACAGAGAGCACTCTTACTGCAAATATTCCGTATATTCTTCCCGAAATCCGAACCGACACCTATGTGGATATCAGCGCGAACATATGCCGTCAGATCCCCCCCCTTGCACACAGGTTGCACCATCCTAGGAGGTAGAATTCCTATTGGCTGTTCCTGCCTAGTCGAATTTCTAGGGCTGGTTCAAGGGCCATCAGCAGTTCCCTGCTCACGCATTTCATGGCAGTCCCAGCCACATTTCACCCACATTTCACTCCATTCCATTCCATCCCAAATCCTTAGCAGTTGGACCAGGATTCTGCTTCTAGTGTTGCACGAGTTCGTCTCCAACATGGCAGCGATTTCTCAAGCCTCCCATGCAGCTGCTCTTAGAGTTCGGTCACAGTCTCCAAGCGTAAGCCGCAGCAGCGGTGGTTCATCTTGCCGTCAGGTTCGTTACGCGTATGTTTGACCTTCATCGATCGCGGAGGCTTACTTGGTCAGTGAATTGAGGGTCCTTTTGCTTGACCGGTTCAAGTGCTCTGGCTCATCGTTTCTCTCTTTGATAGAACTCGCATTGTAGCTCGCTGACCTTATTCTACCGAATGCTGTTCGCGACTTACCGTCCTGATTACCTCGCATTGTCCGGCCTTTTCGTCTAACCACCGCATAATTCCAGTTACTCGCCTTAGTCACACTACTGCACGCTATTCTGAATGCATCTGCACCTTCGTCTGTCGACTTGCATCCCTCCTGCGTCACTTCGGCCCGTCAGAGTCCATCCGGCGCTGCTTTCAGTCGCTCGTTTCAGTCGACGACGCGCCAGCAAGCATGCAGCAGCAGCAGACGCCAAGCGGCACTCGTGCATGCGTCGACGGTCGCCACCGACCTGAAACAGGTGAGTGTTGGTGATGGTATATTGTACTAGACAAGGTACAGCTGATGAGAGTCAGTGATGGTGAATAATACTAGGGTTACTTTTGGGAAGAAAGTGGCTTTCGCTTTTAGGCCCAGTTAACTTAGTTCAAGACATCGAGGACCTATGCGGAGACTCGGTGCTAGCTAACAGCAGCCTCGTAAAACGCATTTCCATGCAGAACCATACGACTGATTCTTTCTCCTGTGTACTCTCTCCTCACTTGGTCTCCTCTGTCATTGACGCCATTCACGCCGTTGATGCTCCCCCAGGTGATTCAGCAGCTGATAGAGCGCAAGGACCTGACACAGGAGCAGGCACAAGCGGCAATGGAGGGTCTTATTGCTGGAGCAGAGGCGGCGCAGATTGGCGCCTTCCTCGTGCTGCTGCGCGCCAAGGGGGAGACGCCTGAAGAGGTGAGCATAGGGGGCCAAGAGACGGGTGGCAGTGGCGGATGGCGATGATGTGGTGGAGTTGGAGTGAAGCAAATGATTGGCAGAGCACTTTTCTTCCTGGCAATCAAATTAGTAATAGGAGACGGGTGGCAACCAGAGGTGATAACAGCAAGGGGGGGTAACAAACAACAACTATTATTTCTTTCTTGGGCTCTTGGGTGAACCCAGGAGGAAGACAGCACAAGGTGGTAACAGCAGCGGGTGTTAACAGCAGAAGGGAGGACGCTGGCTGAAGCGAAATGATTTCTTCTTTCTTTCTTGGGCTTTTTTGGAATTATCAACATTGCCTCCTACTTCCTGTCTAGGCAGCATCCTGGTAGCTGCAGCTACGAGGGGCACTTGCACTTCCGAACACCTTTATCTCCTTTCGCTCACTCCAGGTGGCAGGGCTGGCAGCGGCGATGAGGAGCATGTGTGTGGAGGTGGCAGCGGGGGACAACACATTGGACATAGTGGGCACGGGGGGCGATGGCTTTGACACCGTCAACATCAGCACTGGCGCCTGTGTGCTCGCTGCTGCCTGCGGTGCCCATGTCGCCAAGGTGTGTGGGTGTGGCAGGACAGTAGTTGGGTTCGGCACACTTGGGGTTTTGCACACTTGCTCAAGTACTTGCGCCTTCCCACTTGGGGTTTGGCACTCGATGCACACAAGAGTGTTGATGGGATTTTAGCTGCTGATTCACTGCGCTGTACACCCCCCCTCACCCCATCCTGCCCGCCCACACCCCTGGAGCAGCACGGCAATCGCTCGGTGTCGAGTGCATGTGGCAGTGCGGACGTGCTAGAGGCCCTCAACGTTGAAGTGGACCTCGGCCCTCAGGTAAGACCTTGCTGCATAATGCAGTTGCGGTGAAAGGTGGACCTTGGTGCCTGGATATGTGTGGAATGGAGTGCAGATGACGTGTAAGGGATAGGTGTTCTTTCATTATCAATGTTTGACTATGCGTTTTTCTGCTCCCACTCGAACGTTTCTCACCTGCTAAAATTTCAGTGTTACTTTGTCGCTTAGCTTTCTCCCCTTGCAAATCCACTGTTCCAACCTTTTGACAAGTCTCGATTGTAACCACCATTTCTCTTTCCCACCCTACCAGGTGGCACGCTTTGTGCAGGAGGCGGGGGTGGGCTTCATGTATGTGTCCTGCTTTCACCCCTTTTGAATCACCTCCAACCATCTTTCCTCCTCCCATCTCTCCATCCCCCTTCCATTCCTTTCTCCCCTTTCCGTCCCCCCATCTCCCTTCCATCCACTTCTCCCCCTTCCATCTCTCCCTTCCCCTTCCATCCCTTTCTCCCCATATCATCCCTTCCTCCCCCTTCCATCCCTCTCTTCCCCCCACCAGGCAGTGGCGCGCTGTGTGCAGGAGGCGGGGGTGGGGTTCATGTACGCGCCTCGCTTCCACCCCGCCATGCGCATCGTGGCTCCCGTGCGCAAGGCCCTCAAAGTCAGAACCGCATTCAACCTCCTCGGACCCATGCTCAACCCCTCATTCGCCCCATACGCCCTTGTGGGGGTCTTCAACCCGGAGACTGTAAGTGAATCTATGAGTCCGAAATTCCCACGCTTAAGAGTCCCCAGCGAGTCAGAACTGAGGCTGGGATGCTTTTCTTTTGAGGCCGCCATAACTCTGTCTGAATTCCAGCATGTATATTTATGCTGGATATCTGTCAAATGGGAGTTGTGAGGGGCTTCAATGGCAGAGTAGCTGGCATATGGTGGCCGGGGCAGAAGGTCCAGGTTTCGGGTTCAGGGTGAAGGATCAGGCGCCGTTTTGGTTGCATAGACATTCAAGGTTGCATCGAGTTGAGTTGTAAGGGTAGTGGAACATGTCACTCATACGATGTGATTCACTTCTTCCACTCCACCACGATGTATGTATGTATGTGTTAACGATCCGGATAATCTACATCGCTGGCAGAGTTTCTGGTTACGCCACCATTAAATCCAATGAAGTCACACAACCACAACCAATTTGTAGTTCACTCCACCCCGCTGCACCGCCCTGCACCATTCAGGTCGACCTGATGGCTCGTTCACTGCAGCGCCTGGGCATCCGCAGGGCACTGGTGGTGCACTCCAAGGGGCTCGATGAGATCTCCCCCATGGGTATGTCCTCCCCTCCCCAGCCCATGAATCAGTGAGCCCACCCACCCCATAGGTCACTCTCCCCCATGGGTCTGTCACTCCCCCATGGGTCACACTCCCCCATGGTTCACTCTCCCCCATGGGTCAATCTCCCCCATGGGTCTGTCACTCTCCCCCATGGGTACTCAGTCCATTCCTGCCCAACCCATGGGTCAGTCAGTTCAGGAGGCTGTACGAATCTAGACTTGTATGGCAGCGCCGTATGTGAGCCACCTGTGCTTCCTCACGTCCTGCCAATGTGTGTAAAAATCAATCTACTTGTTCCTTCCTTCTTGTCTCTCTCACTCCATTCCTCACTCTCTCCGCCACTCCCTATCCCTCACCTGTCCCTCTTCCCTTTGCCTATCTCACAGGCCCGGCAGGCATGCTTGAAGTGACACAAGACTCCGTCTGCTCGGAAATACGTTACTTGTTCTTTCTGGTCTCTCTCACTCCCCGATCCCTCCCACCCCTGTCCCTCTTCCCCTTGCCTATCCCACAGGCCCAGCAGACATGCTTGAAGTGACACAAGACTCCGTTCGGCCCTTCCGTGTCGACCCCTGTAAGCACTTCCATCCATACCCTCGTGCATCCCATCCCATGTATGACAACAACACTCTCCAATCCAATTTGCGTTCGTAAAGATTTCTGCTTACATTGCATGCTTCTGGACGAGCTCAGGCTCATATACCATGCCATGCCATGTCATGCCATGCCATGTCAGCATGCCCTCTCAACTCCATGTTAGCATCTTGTTCCGCGCTACAGAGGAAGGCAGCAAATGCAGAGCCTCACGTGTGGTGTTGACCTGGAAGGTCTCCCTTGTACGATGTTCCGCGCATTCTTCTTTTGCGCCCTTGGCAGTGGACTACGGCATAGCGCGGTGCACAATAGAGGACCTCAAGGGTAGCAAGCTCCGAGATTTTCATGTACCCGCTTCTATACTCTGACAGTCTCCCTTGTACCCTCTTTCACGCGTTCTCCCCCGTGGCAGTGGACTACGGCATAGCGCGGTGCACAATAGAGGACCTCAAGGGCGGGGACAAGGCGCTCAACGCCCAGCTGCTCAGAGACGCCTTTGGCGGGCAGCAGGGGGCCATCGCTGATGCGCTCGTGAGTGCCAGGGAGGGCAGCAGGGAACGCGTGTGTGAGGTGAGGAGGGGCAGCCTAGCTGCAGCTACAGTGCTGCAAACATGTCACTGCTAACTATGGCACACGTTCCCCCCTGCCTGCTCTCCTCACTGTCACTCAACAAATCCTTCTCCTCTCTCTCCCCTCTCTTCCTCCGAGGGTTCCTTTTTGTCAAATCTCCCTGTTCGCCACTTTGAATGTTGGATGTGGGCAGGAGTCCGCCAGCAAGTGCAGCAACCAGCACATGCAGCAACCAGCACATGCAGCAACCAGCACATGCAGCAACCAGCACATGCAGCAACCAGCACATGCAGCAACCAGCACATGCAGCAACCAGCAGCCAGAAGGCCCCCAAGGCACGGCGTTGGTCCTTTCCCACATTCCCGGTGCTCCCTTCCTCTGGCCCCTCCCCCTCTCTGCAGGTTCTGAACGCGGGATCAAAGCTGGCAGCGTGTGGGGTGGCCAGGGAGGGACGAGCGCGCTTGTCCTCTCCCGCTCAGCCTGCATGCTCCTCCCTCTCCTGCTGCTCCCTTTCGCCCTGCAGGTGCTGAACGCGGGAACAGGGCTGGCAGCGTGTGGGGTGGCAAAGGATGTGGGCGAGGGCATAGCCATGGCGCAGGAGGCGCAGCGCAGCGGCAAGGCGCTCCTCGTGCTTGATCGATGGGCCGCCCTCTCTCAGGTGATCGATGGGCCGCCCTCTCTCAGGTGATCGATGGGCCGCCCTCTCTCAGGTGATCGATGGGCCGCCCTCTCTCAGGTGATCAATGGGCCGCCCTCTCTCAGGTGATCGATGGGCCGCCCTCCCTCAGGTGATCAATGGGCCGCCCTCTCTCAGGTGATCGATGGGCCGCCCTCTCTCAGGTGATCGATGGGCCGCCCTCTCTCAGGTGATCGATGGGCCGCCCTCTCTCAGGTGATCGATGGGCCGCCCTCTCTCAGGTGATAATTGCTTGACTATCTTCTGTAAGCTGTTTGGCCTCCAATGCAATGCCACAAACAAGCATCTACGAGCTATTGCTGAAGGCACTCATAGTTAGGTTGGTCACTCACATTTTCAGTTGATTCTTTCTATGTCTTGCTTGCGGCAAACTCATGTACCATGAGTGCACGTAGCCCACATCTGCACCCATTCCCCCTTCTGCCCCCTGCATATCTGTCCTGCCTTTTTCTCTCCCTCTCCACGTCTGTGCGTCTCCTCCCCCCTCTGTTTGCCCTTCGACGTTGGTTCCGTTTCGTTCTTATCAACACTTCTGGATATCGAACAGGAGTTGAAGAAGGCTGAGCAACTAGCAGTTGCTTGACAAATGTGAATCATGTTTAGCATACATATGAGCAACTGGCATTTCATGTTATCATTACAGTGAATCAGCCAGTCCCACATTCCACTTTCTCTCTGCAGTCACGGTTTGGGTGGGTAGTAGGTACACGTACTAGGTGTTGTAGCCTTCCGGTAGTCTTCCTACCTACACATCTTCTGTGGGGATTACGAATTCTCCTAGTCAATCCAGGTTGCAGCACGGACGGGGCAGTGGTTTGAAAAATGCAGCGAAGGAGAGACTAGTTGGGGTTAACAATAACGACAGCATTGGGAAACGTTTGGCCAGGCCTGTTTGGTCACTTGCGTTTGAAAACAAAAAGGTACCGGTCTATGAAGGATGAATAACTGACAGCACAAGGAAACGGGGAGCATGCAGTTACCACCCCATCTCATCACATCGCCTCGCCATCGTGAATCCCTATGCCTATGCCCATCCATCAAGACTAGTTGGGCTTTCATTCACTGCCCTAGCAAGAACGCCCAGCATCCACAGCAGCTGCATTATTAGCAAACACACTTCCCACGCCGCACATCCCACTACTAGCAGCACACCTCGGCAACAGTACTAAACGTTGGTGCTGCTCTCGAAGGTATCCCCGGCGCTCCAATTGCTCTTAATCACACCTTGCAGCACCACGGGTCCTCCGACGACGCTCTGCGCAATGACGCGCACGCTCACCAGGCGGCCCGCATCCACAATGCCTTTGGCGGGGTTCAGAACCCACCGCGCGCCTTGCTTCGACATGGCCTTCCACTGGTTGCCGTCGCTCGAAAGATCCACGTTTGAAACGACTCCGCTCTTCCCCACGTTGAGTACTACTCAACGAAAATGCTAAGTCAGGAAAGTGACAGAACAGTCTCCTAAACGAGACTTTATGGTGACATTTTTAGGTCACGGAAAAGTCATGGTCAGAAGTACCAGGGTGAGCCGTCACCTTGCCAGTGACGTAAACCTCACGCATCCGTCCCGCAAAAGAATCGGGAACAACACATTTCTGTCACTCCCAGGGTTACCACATTGTCACCAACACTTCACTCGTCCGTTACGACGCACACAACCACAATTGCGTCACCGGAAAAACACCGAAATGCACAACTGCCACGTAAGCACCCACTTGGCAGTACAGTTACAACACCCCCGTATCAACTATCGTACTACTCACCATAACGTACGTGCGTGTCACTACCCAACTCCCAATCAGCAACAACCACGTGATGACCAACCCGCCACAAATAGACCGTCACGATCACACCCCAACGCGCCATGATCAACGGCTTCTACGCACCGGCCAACCAAAGGCGACGCCGCATCTGGACGGTCCATCAACCCACACATCTACGCACATAGAAGCGCCACTACATCTCAACCATGCGGTCAATGTGTGCACACGTCACCCGAATGCACCATCTTCCAACCGTCCACCCGCTAATGCTTCGACGATCCCGATTAGCCTGCATTTTCGACAACTCGCACACGTGGCCCCCAATCCTCCCAAGATCAATTCCTCATCCACGGTAACTGTGCACACTTCATGGTGATGATCAACGGCGGACATACACGCATCGCGACAACAACATCACCCTACATGCATTACCTCACCCATTGAATCATGACGAGAACCACGACCCACCGCGTAACAGATTCGCTCACATCGACGTCCTCGATGCATCGCCCGAAAACTACCTGCTCTCCTCACAGCCCATCGAGCACGTCGAATCTGTCGCACGTCCACGCACCACCACTGATATGGAAGGCCATCGACGCTGTACGACGTATTGCGACACCCACACTCATGATGTTACCACACATCAAAACCGTCACTGACACGTGCAACGCAGCCCATCTCGCCGCAGCGCGTTTCACCCAACCACAAATCGCACCGTCCATATCCACTATTCTCACAATCGGGCCGCGTGAAATCCTACATCTGTCATGCCCTGATTTTGTGTCTGGACCCTATGTCCCCCGCTCGCGTGAAATGTATGATCTTGATAGCTTCTATTTCACGCCATCTCACGCAATACATGCTCTTTTCACCACACATCTAACATTACATAACCTACGATTCAACCACGCCACACTAACAACTTCAGCCACACTACCTCAACAACTCAGCAGCTACAACCGTTCCTTCGACAATTGCTGTTCTCACACCCCCGCACTGTCCCCATTACTCGGTAACGGATCGACACCCCGTGCACTTTGCACTTCAGCCTGCATTTTTTGCCCATCCTCAGGTAAGGGACATGTTGTCCCGTGCGCCTTCGCTCACGCTGGGTGCCTGCCCGGCGTGCTCCTGCCTCTCGATCCCGCACGCAGACAGGCGCAGCCCATGGCGGCCCCACGCCCACGATGACGTCGTGGGGTCGTACTGCGGCTGGAACTGCTCGATGGCAGCCATGACGTCCACGAGCGCGCACTCGCGGAGGCCGTCCACGATCTGCGCGTTGACACCCGCAGAGTTCGACAGCCTGCCCTTGCGGGTGTCCCAGTAGCGGATCGCGTCGGTCACCTGCGCATTTGAACGGACAGATGCGCATTTTCAGCCACGGTATGCACCCCTGCAACGGTTTACACGGAAACTACGTCGGACCAGGAGACATGTTTCGACTGTCAACGCTCACCACGTGTTCGAGCCACGCCATGTGATACAGCTTCAGAGTCAGCGTCCCGTTCACCATCCTGGGCCTGAAAGCAGCTCGGGCGCATGCAGCAAAGGCCCCGGACGCAAAGGGCATGCCGCGCCTGTCCTCGCTCCACTTGGAGATAGCGAAATGGTCTGCACAACAACCAGGCGGCCATTTCGTCGTCATTATCCGCACAAACGCGCTCACACACGTACCAAGCATCGCGAGACTGTCTTACCCTCCCCATCGAGTGTCAGCAGCAGGCGCTTCTTCACCCTCGCCGCCGAGCGAGCCTTGGGGGCAGCCCACGGGCTGCGCGCGTCCTTCTCGTTGCGGAAAAGTCCCAGTTTCGGCATCGCAATGTCCCGGACACGCCCCGCGGCCGCCGTCTTCCAGTCGCTAAACGAACGGTTCAAGTCAGCGCGTCTCCCTTTGTCTGCAGCCAATGCGAGGCTTGCAAAAGCGGGAGTCAGACGGTCAATGATCGCGCACAGCCCGGCACTCTTCGCCGCGCTACTGGGGTAGAACGACATCAACGCGTCCGGCGCGTCCACAAAAAGATGCACACGCAGCTGCTCGCAAATTTCCTGCGTGACGCAGCAGACACAAAGACAGTCCTGGCATATTAGCTGTCACGTAAGATATTCCTCCACCGGACTTTGAACATGGAACCGACATGCTTATACACACAATGCACCCCCATTGTACAACTTTTTAACCCCATCCTCCCACCCTCCACCCTTTGTTCGCCGGTAAAAACTTCAGCGCTCGCTGCAGGATCGGAGAGCTCGACGTCCTCACGTGGCGACCGACCTCGTCCTCCAGCTCGTCCTCGTCGACAGAAGGTTCGGGACTCGCAACGCGCCTCGCGTAACGTGGGTTGACCCTGTCACACTCGCCCCTTGCGTTGTCACGCTTGCGTTTCTTGGCCTGGTGGTTGGCGAGCGAGGCCAGCAGTGCCGTCTCCAGCCTTGCCATGGTCGCTGCCGTTTCCATCTGCATCTTGCGCAGCGCAACCATCTCCGCCCGCGTCACTGGAGCGGAATCGGAGGCCTCCTCCTGCGTAGCCTCTTCGTCGCCGTCGACGCGCGGATTTACTCGTGGAAGAGCTTCGTTCGGATTGTCGTCCGACGACACAGGGTCCGGGCCCGTCGGTGATGGTTCATCAGGGCCTTCCTCGTCCGCCATTTCTGACACCCTGCGCCTCTTTCCAGTCCGAGCGGAACGCGCTTCCTCGTGCGTCCTTGAAGGTCCTGCCTTGCGGCGATTAGAGGTCGTCTCGCGAGACGATGAGCTCTCGCCATCCCGATGGTCATTCGCTTCGGGCGGGGGAGTTGACGCTGCGAACCAAAGACACGGTAAGTGTTAGTGTGGGCCGTGTACCCTACATGATCATTTAAACACGCACAATAAAACACACGACACGCATACCACGTTCCGAAGTCACGCTCGGTGCGGGCCTCGCAGCAGTTTTCGCCCGCTTAGCAACCGGCGCCTTCGGCACCGATGGACGCTTGGAGCTTCCCGACAGCACATAGTTCTTCAGGTGCGACGGAGTCTTGGACACACGCTGACGTTTTCCGTCCCTGAACGCTCGTCCGCTCTCTGTGCCACTGTCCATGTTGCCTGTGGCAACTAGACAGACGATGTGCACAATGTTGCACAACGCCTTGTTTTGTGCACAAACTTGCCCTCGTCCATGACTTGCGTCCGAAGTAGGCATTGTTTGACGTGGAAGCCACCCACTCACCTCGAAATTTGCTGCCCTATCCTTGCTTGCCAGCAAGACATATTCAAGCACTACCACCGTGTATGGTGACCTCGCACTACACCGGTACATTCGTGGTCACACAAAATGTGTTGCAACACTTACACCACCACAGTTATTTTTACACCACCATTCTAAACGTATACACATGTTTTGACAACAACACACAAGCTACAACCATGTGTAGAATCGTTCACCACACCATCAAAATCAATGCATTCCATGCGCAAAAACAACCACAGCAACTTATACGTTTGCTCAGTACTGGACTCTCCTTAGGCGGTTTTTGCTTCCATTGCCCTCTCACTATCACTGGGCCTGCGTGCACTCAATACCCCCATCACTGTCTTGTTCCCTATTGTCCTCCTCGCTGACAAGATCCTCATCTGCTTCAGCATCCCGTGTCTCGCTATCAGCTACCTCTGCTTTAGGTGGAAGTGACTCCGCACCTGGCTCCGGCTTGAAGGGCGTTCCTGGCAAAACACCAATGTCGTTCATGGCTTTACGCCACTCCCTCCACCTGTACCACTGGCGCTTCTGTACAAGATGCCTCACGTCATCCACTATTGCTCCCTCCAATGCAGCCATCTCCGTGTCTGTCAACGCCATCACCTTGGGGAAGTGGTCCTTCCTCCTGATCACAAACGCTCCAGCCGCGTACGCGTAAGCCGCGTCCTTCTCATCCATGTACGCGCCAAGGCGGACCTGCTTCCCAGTCGAAGGCTCCGCAACTATTTTGACACACCACTTTCGCACGCGGAGATCAAACCACACCCCGGTGTACTCGTTCGTACCTCCCCGTTTCCCCACACCCCCCGCGCCGCTGGCCTTCACCAGGGTGGCACTGGTCTTCTGCATGCGACGACCTGCACGACGACCCTTAACGGGCGTGGCGTCTGGGGTGTTCGGCTTGACCGTGTTGGAGACGTGTCCCTGTGTGTGCACGTCGCTTCCCCCCTGCGTCTGCGGGAACTTTACACGGACGACACCATGGTTAGGCAGTGGAGCGGGGGTGTTGTGAAGAAGTTCGGGGAGCGACCTCGAGGCTGCATCTCGCTCCCGCTGCCTGTCCCCCGCGCTGCATATCTCCGTCTAAGCCGTCGCTGCCGCTGCAACCAGCCATGGCCGGGCGCTTACTGCCCAGACGAGCCCGCTTAATAGGCGTGCGACGGGGACGGTTGATGACGTCGTCGTTGGACAGTCCAGTGCGCTCTGGAAAGTCACGAGGAGGAATGCCCATTTCAGCCGCGGTACGTATGTACGTCTGCGTAACGGCTCTCACCACTCTACGGCGACTACGAGGGTCGTGCAGTCTAGGCCCAGGTGGCATAATCAGAGGCACGGTGAGGTCCTCCGCTGAGTTGTCTGCGACGGCCGCGCCGCGGCCGATGATAGCGAGAATGCGAGTGTCGCACGCCGCGTAGTCGGGGGCTTGCATGAAGCCGGAGCCGCCCTTGGTGAACTTGGTTATCATCTGTTGCAGACTGACGAGCTGGGTTATGAGTGGCTCCACAGTCACACAATTTGCATGATTTTCCGTCAGATGCACGAGCGGCCTCCACGCCATAGGCAACATCCCAGACCTTGCCCACGAGAGATGGACAGCCCTGGATGGAGTGCAGTCGCTGGCAGACCCTACCCATAGCAGTACATTCTCGTAGGCTATTATGGGCATTGCGCCCCGAGACAGCCATGCCGAGTCCTTTATGATGAAGCCGAGATAGCGGGACCGGAAAATTGTCTTGAACATCTCGACCACCCCGTTGAACCACGGAAGGTTGTATGTGGAAACGACACCCGCGAGATGAACAATCTTGGTAGATGTGAGCTGCTGCACACGAAACCCGAACATTGTGCTCTCGTCACAGGCCGGGTCCAACGACACGTGGGCGGCGCTCGCCACGAGGACAATGGCGGTTTTGTTGTGGCCGAAACGGTCCATGTCGAAGGCGTCAATGTACTCAGTGAAGCACTGCGAGACATAAGGGGTTGACAGATATGACGCTAAACAAGTTGGATGCGTTGCGCAGCACAACCACAATACAATAACTTGTTGCGCACGCACCTCGGCGGTGAGTTCCCCGGATCTCGTTTGACGAAGATGCACAGGCCTCCCATTCGGGAAGAGCGGCCGGTAGGGGCGGTGACGAGCACGACGCGTCACGACAATAGGCGGCTGCGACGATGACCCAGTAGCATTAAACAACAGGCAAACGCGAAGTTCGCACTTCGGCCTGTACCGGGTGTCTGGCTCCACATTATACGTGAATGGCAAAGTGGTCGCGAGTAGCGGCGTCTCTACGAAGCAGAACACGTCTTCAGGGTGGGCGCGTAGCGACTCTAGGAGCTGCACAAGAGCCGCCATGGCAAGGACACTAGCATGGAGACTAGCGTGCGTGTGCGGTAATATGACGATTGTGTCCAGAAGGGAGGGCATCCTTGTGTGCAGCGGTAAGGGCTGTACGAGGTTGTGCACCTCACAGACGCAATCCGCACCGTGGACACGGGAAGGACACAACGCCACGTAAGTGTCACACCTGGTGTGCTACGATTGGCGAGACAAGGTAGCGTAGAACACAGGTTGGATGAGGTGTGGCCGTGCACATGTGGCATTTCGGCGGCCACATGTGGAGAAGGGGTTGCACAAGGTGGCTCCGCTTGTGACTGATGGTTTTAATAAAACCTTTACACGCGATCGAATTGGCCATGCACAGTCGGGTGTCATGTTCTGTATAACGAAGACGGATTGTACCCGCATCGGGGGCACCAGCACATCGAAACCCTAGAAGGAAGCATGCACCCAAAATCCGTGTTGCCCAACATTACAAGCATCAAATCGGCTGTGTTCTGTTCCGGGGGAGGACCTATATGTGTTGTTGTTCATCGTCGACCGTTAAGGACGTTGATTCTGGGAGCAACCCTGCTCGTTCCGTGGACTGGTAAACGGGGACATGTCACTGCATAGTTGCGAAGCGTGTGGTGGGGGTTTCGCTAACAATATCGCGCTGCGGACACACAGGATTTGCCACCCACGCTGTGCGGGCATGAGTTCCCCATCGACGGACGTTACGTACCTTGAGAGCCGGGGAGAACATGTGAGAGTCAGAGGTGGTCGGCATGTGGAGATGTCGCATTCCGACTTCGTCACGGTGTTACACGCAGACGGCCTTACCTATGGTGAGGATCTGCAATGGCTGTTCCGTGTCTTCAGAAGCCCGGGGTTGTGCACTCGCGACGCTGACAGGCTGTTGGCTTTGCTAAGGAACCCCCGCTTCTCGCTGCGTGATGTGCATGCATTTCGTTCACTTCACTGACACCCTCCATGTTGTGTTGGCGCTATTGGCGGCGTGGGTTGCATTGCCTAGTGTGGCATCGAGAATACGCAAGCGCAGGGGACGGCGGTGAATTGCACACGTAACATGGGATGAGCGGTATGTGTGAGAAACGCTAGTGGAGGGCTGTAGATGGTGTGTTGGGACGGGCTGTAGTGTTAGGCAGTGTGAGTTGTCACGGAGTTTATGGAGTATTCATTATTGTAAAGGACACTCGGCATGCTGTTTGTGCTGGTATATGTTTGTAATTTGCAATCATTGAAGTAATTAGACACAATTATTCATATGTGTTAGTTGGACTATTACATAGTGTGGGAGACACAATTTGTTGCGCGACTACGGGGTGTGTTGCTGACGCATATGTGGTGGTGTATGTGTGGACATGTCGTGACAAGTCTCTTTCCGCCGAGCTGGGGGAAACATGGCACGAGCATTGTCACTTGTCCTGTGCGAAAGTGATGTTACCAAAAAACAAATGCGTTCGCATCATGAAACGTTTTTGCTGCATTCAATCCGTGTTCAACTGCCACGTGTGATAGGTTCATCACCCAGTTTGTCGAGTTTGGAAGAACCGAGGAGGGTTGCTGATGTGTCAGGGTTCACTCCAGGTTGTGCCATGATGAAACAGTGTGTGACCCGTTGGGACCGTGGTGTATTAAAAGGGTGGGTGCAATAACACAAATTAGGGTTTCCCCCCTCGTCTGCAGCTATGTTAGGCAACGCGTGCGAAGCCCGCGGCTTAGAACACGTTGACGACAACACGCTGCAGTCACACCTGGCACGCAGTAAGCAATGCCGACGGAAGATACACCAAGCAAGGGCGGAGCGCCTGGTGGAGGCATACCGGGAGGCTATGCGTGCTATGCGGGGCGCACGAGCGCTGTCACCGGTAAGGACACGTCATTCCGAGATGGAGCCGGATGCAAGCGAGGGCGTCGAAGAGCATCACGAAGAGGATGAGCGGCGAGGAGCAGCCGTACCGGACGCGGACGACGATGGGAGCGATGTTAGCAGCGTGGACGAAGGGTTTGATACGTTGACGGAGATGTACATATTCTTCCGGGACGCGGACCTATCAAGAAGAGAGGTTAACAGGCTACTGACCATTTTTAGCAACCCACGGTTTTCGGTGAGGGACGTCAGGAGATGGCTGAACTATATGGACTTGAGGCGCTTTGGGAAGGCTATGGCGCCGCCTGACCTCGTGCCGTGGTTGAAGACGGAGATAAAGTGCTATGGACCCGGAGGAAAGATGGCGAGACTGCCGCTGCACTACCGGAATACGGAACTGGTGAGCGGACGGTGGGAGGTAGTGGTGTTCTAATAGACCACTCACAGAGGTTGCGCTTACTGCATTTCGATGTAACCAAGGGTCGGTTTGCCATGTCCCACTTGACAGTTGGTGCAGAAGCTGGTGCGGACGTTCATCCACTCGGAGGGTTTCGTGACAGAGCCTCGGACAGACAAGGATGATTGCGAGGGGAAAAGGCATTTCAGCACTCCTGACACGGGCATTTGGATGGAGAAAGCGCATGTGAGTAGGTAGGATGCTGCACAGGAATTGCTGTTGTGTGGTGTGGCAAAGATGCGCGTGGTGGTTCATATCAATGTATGAATATGGTTTGTGACGGCAAATGGGGTCGTAACGTGTGCAGGCGGCGCGTCCCGACCAGAAGGGGATGATTCTGGGTGTTATAGTGTACAGCGACAGCACGCACGCTTCGTCAAACGGCAGGCTACAAGCGTGGCCGGTCCTGATAAGCCTCTTCAACATACCGGAGAGTCTGAGGTGGCTTGAACCCGGACACGTGCTCGCAGGTGTGCTCCCGTTCCCTCCGGAGTGGGCGTCGTCCACGGAGAAGACGCGGGTATTCCAGGAGGCTATGGCTGTCATTTTTGAGCCACTGCTAAGAGAGCACAGAGGGTGAGTGTCGTGAATGCGTTTGTGGTCGGATAGCGATGAAGTGGTGATGTATGACAGTGTGTCGATGGCCATGTCGTTGGCAGGGCGAAACTCAAGTTCATCTACGTCACAGATGCGTCGGGGAAGGTGGTGAAGGCGTACCCTTGTTTGTTCGCGGAGGTCAGGGACTACCCGGAGTCGTCTCGTTGCACTGCGACGATGCAGCAGAGGTCACACAGGCCATGCAGCTCGTGCTACATTAAGAGGGTGCATCTGGCGGAGCTGAGGACGGACACAACAGTGCGCACGGCCGACCTGCACAGGCGCACGGTGGAGGCTATTTTGAATGCACCCTCGAGCGACAATGCTGACAAAATAATGCGCAGGTGGTCGACACACCCAGTGCATGTAAGAGGGGCTGATGTGATGGTAAAGCAGAGTGGTTGGGTGGATGTGTTGTTACAGACGTAACTAATGTACCATGTGTGGATTGGTGAGCGGCAGAACCGTGCTACTGTCCAGTTGACCGGGAACCATTCTTCTGTGTAGGGCAGTGTTTCCTGGAGAGGTGGAATTTCGCGGACACGAAGTGGGGGAATGTCTTCCTGGCGTGCGTCGCGGACATATTGCACGTGCTGGACGGCGGGATGTTGGGGCACCTCACGGACATATTCATCAAGGGGAAAGGCAAGCCGGAGAGGCGGGAGTTTGAAAGGTGAGGGACGTCGTCTCAATACTAAGTGTGTGTACGTACTAGGTGCCTTGGGACCAACTCGGAGCCACTGGTGTAACATGTGCAGGCGCAAGAAAGAGCAGAAAAAGGACACGAGGACAACGGTTGTCCGCATCCCAGGGGGGGCATCCTGGTTCAGGACACGGGCGAACTATGCGGCGTTCGAGAACCGAGGGATGATGCAAGTGATGCCCATTCTCATCGCGGACAGCATGGACGGCTGCAAGCCGGCGGAGGTGGAGCAGCGGACGAAGGAGGTATGGGCGTTCAGGAAGTACGCAATGTTCTACAAGGCACTGGTGGGCGTCGCAAAGCACACGGAGCAGACGCTGCGTGATGTCCGCACGGCTGCCTACGCGTGAGTGCCGGGGGGGGGGGAAGAGGACGGGTTGGGGTGCCAGAGGGTTGTAGGGGTAGGGGGGGGATGCCATTGGTGGGTGGGTGGGGAGGGTGGGGGGGGTGGTGGAAGAGAAGTACGCAGGGCTGGGGTAGGAAAAGTGGTTTCTGACAGTGTGGGCGGGGGATTCGGGACCCCCTGTTGTGTGGGTTGTCGCAGCACGTGCGACTGTCGTGGCACGTGCTGTGGTGTAGAGGAGGGGTAGGGAGGGGGGTCGGGCGACTCGGTGTGGTTACGAATTGGTTTTTTTTTTAGTGATACAAGGTATGATCTACGCATCACTGCCACTGTGTGGGTGCATGCTGAACTGTTCTGCTTGCAGGATGATGGACGCTATCGGGGATGCTTTTCCGGATCAGAAGTCGTCGTGGAACTTTCCGAAGGTGCACCAGATTGTGCACCTTATTGATGCCATTCCCCTCCGGGGGATGCCGTGGGAGTACTCCACCAACCTCTGGGAGCACACGCACAAGGGAACAGTGAAGGTCCCGGTCCGGGGCAGCAACTGGAAGGACATTCCACGGCGCATCGTGGAAGAAGAAGTGCAGCGAGAGATCACTCGGGAGGTGGCGGCTCTGGCGGGGGGGGGGGGGGGGCGACAGTACGTGACGGCGTTGCGCGAGGTGAGCAGGGCCCACCACCGCGAGGCCATGGGGTTTTTTAGTTGAGGACGCGCGGGATGGGTGGAGACGGCGCTATCTAGACGATGGTGATGAAAATGCATGTAGCGCTGGGGGGGACGCTGGGGGGGGGGGGTGGGTTACACACGGTTTGGCATTGGGGAGTAGGGCAGTGTTGTATTATTGTAGGACATTGCGATGTGTGCTGTGTATGCTCTTGTGCGTGTACAATCTGGCGTGTGTTGTTGAACACATGTGGACACCACGGCAGGCCGTCCGGCTTCAAGGGCACGTGCTGACGCGGCGGTCGCGATGTGCCAATGTGCGGAACGAAGAGGACCCCGTTCTGTGGGAGTATCGTGAGGCTCTTGGTTCGAACATGGATGGGCTTGGAAGATGTCTCATTGATGTCGGGGTGAACACCCCGGACATCAAGGTGAGATGTACTGTGGTGTAAGTGCAGTGTACACGTAAATATCTGGTTGAACGCACTGCGTTGTGCAAGCAGGGGATACAGCTGCCGGAATGTGATGGGTGGGGCCGTTTCATGACCGGAGTGCTCTGTTGCATGTGTTATGTAGGTGCACACGGCGCTCCGAGAACACGTGGAGGGGAGCTGGTGGCCAAGGGCACATTTGTGAAGGCCAGCCCATCTGAGAACTGGTTCTCAGATGTGGCAGTGAAGGCTGAGGAGAAGAAGGAGAAGGAGAAGGAGAAGGAGAAGGAGTGGTACGCACGGTGCTTGTGCGTGTTCCGTGCGAAGAACGCAGAAGGAGAGGAAGGGGCGTACGTGTACGTCAAGTATTATGAGGCGGCGGGCCTATGCCCAGTCACTACATGTGTGCAGCTGACGCCTGGGAGGGTGGACACCCGGTACGCTGTGGTGGACGTGGAGTGCATCAAGCGGGTGGTGCACGTGTGCAAGTCTTACGTCAACAAGAAGGTGGTGCTGCTGAACAAGTTCCTGTTGTGCGAGTAGTTGGTGAGGTATGAGGTTGGACGCGCTCACGGACGTGCCTATGTTGTTATTACTGGCTAACTTTTAAATGTTGTTGAATCACGTAGAGTAAGTAGTGGCATGATAAGTTATGAACATTGGTGCTCGGGGAGGATGATGTTAGTGAGACTGGTAACGTCGTGGTCATGAACAATAAGTTGAGGGGTAGTGTACAATTATTCAATGTGGTGTCGTGAAGCGAGGGTGTCTGAAATGCGAATGTGTGGGCGCGGAAGTTCTTTTTTTAACGTGCCGCGCTTTGTTTACCGGAAGCGACTCGAGGTCCGTGTGAAATTTGCGGTCCGAGGGTGGAGGGCTCGGGAATGTGGGCATGCGGGTGTGCGTGACATTCCTGTCACAAAATTGGTGGGTTCGGGGACTTTATGTAGAGTTTTTCGTAGAAAACCCCACGGAGCCAAATTTGGGCGATCGACATTTCCGCGATGTACCTGAAGTGTGAAGTACCACGGGCCGCTGCCGCTCAGAATCTGAACCACGATTCCGCTGTCGGAAGGACAGCTCACCCGGCTATAGTCAACCTCCACGTCGCACCCGTTCCCGCTGCTGACGATTATGTCCCAGGCGGGATCGTTTAGCTTGAATACGGAGCCGGCATTGTTGACCGCCCTCACCAAGGCGGAGCCATCCTTCTTGCAGCTGCGGTGGTTCTTGCAGGAAACTCGGTAGCACGCTCCGCAATGATCGACGCCGTTCGAGTTGAACAAGTTCCAAGGCACCAGCGCAATCATGCCCTTGTAAACGCGACTGATGTTGCCGTTGTAGCACTGCCCCTCCCCGGTCAGCGAGGCTTTGCCTGCGCTGGCGGAAAGAGCGTCAGCAGGAGTGAGGGCGAGAGCAAGCAGGACAATTCCCGCGCACACCAGGCCGGCGACCTTGGAAACGGCGAGAGCCATCGGGAGAAAAGGAGCAGAGCGTAGTAGTACGAATGCTGAGGTCTTAATGGACTTCTCTGCTGGGGACAGCGATCGCCTGTAAAATAATATAAAGTTGAACCAAAAGAGATTGAATAACTGACACTGGAGGGTAGCTCTTGATTTCGATGATGATATCGAGAAAGCAGGAGATTAATAAACGAGATGTGTGAGTGGAGAGAATCGTGTCGTGAGTTGGGACTGGGAGGGTTCGCCGCAAGTAGCGGCTTCGAGTCGCCATCGTGATTTTCCTCGAGAAACGACCGCGTGGCGAGAACTACGAAACTGGGTGTAACGCAACAATTATTACCACTTCGCGAAACGACCGCGTGGCGAGAATTACGAAACTGTGTGTAACGCAATCATGGGAAGCAAAAGGGAGTAGGCGAGGGACGAAATTGTAGAAGCGACGTAATCTCGTCGGTTCACTGCATTCGCTCAAATTATTTCCAGGCTAGTGGCGTGGCGACCTTCCGTGATTTTCGGTAGGTTACCTGCTGGGATTGATTTGTTGGTGAGGCGAGGGGCCCAATTATTGTAGGGGCTTCGTGAAGTCGAAAGATCAGAACTCGTCAATTATTGGCAGCATAACCGATGGAAGATGGAACATGTGCGAAGCACAGACGAACAACATCCAAACCATGCGAACTGTCATCTTGGTAACTCTACTCATTCGACAAACCAAACCAGGGCCGGCTTTCGCATGTGGTAACACACAAAGAATGCTTTGGACGCAGGTCCTCGGACCACAGCATTTCATTCGCTATCACACACACTCACAAATAAAGATTCGCTAAGAACATATCAAGGCGCATGAATATGTCGGAGTCCATTTCAGGGTTTGGTAACATCCTGGCTCCTTAGAGTTTTACATGCCATTCCCAGAATTGCGGCATTCCTCCCCGCGCAGATCTCTTGCGTCCAGTTCAGCTGCCAATCCAATGACGTGATGATGATTGTAAGGACAGCCTCACCCGCCGTCCTCCACGCCTCTCCCAGCGAGAAGCTCATTCGTAGCATCCTCTCTGCCACCCTGGTACTAGTAATGCGGTTTCTAGTAGGATCGCGTTGTAAATTTACGGTCACTTGGGTATTGATAGTAGCGTGTCAGGAAGGCAAGCAAGCTCGTGGCAGAAGGTTCCGACCTATTTCGTTCGCGACGCGGATTGCGTCTCCGGAGGCGCGTTCAAGAGCCGACACGGCCTTTAGGGGCTCCTTACGGAGAAAAAGCAGACGAAATCGTTCGTTTGTGTTACATTTGTTCGACATTTGATGGCACTGGGAGGAGAAGAGCCGATGACGACAATGGTAGTCGGAAGGGCCTACAGCTAGGTTGGAGGCCTCGACGGTAATCCCAAGGTGTGCTTGTGATGGGCACTGGATTGTGAGGAATTATGAGAGGAGGGTGGTGGACAATGGGGGGGGGAGGGAGAGGGCACAGGGGGGGAAAGAATGGGGGAGGTTGGAGATAAAGGGCATGGGGTTCGGGGATAGTGAGGGCAGGCGGAGGATAATGAGGGCAGGCGGAGGATAATGAGGGTAGGGGCTTGTCCAAGTGCTCCCCTCCTCTCCCCCCTCTAGGCAGTGGGGCGCTGTGTAGAGGAGGCAGGGGTGCTAGTAAGACATGTGATGTGACTCACAATATCGTCCTCACACCATGCGACACAAACCAACACAAACCAACACAAACCATATACGGTATGTAACTCTACAATGTAAGTGTAGATGGCTGGGTTGTCTATGGTGTCTTTGCCTTTGAATCAACAATGTCACCTAACCAGGACTATTCCTCCACACCTCTGTGCATCCCTCTCCACCCCTCTATACCCCTCTGCACCCGCCAGGTGGACCTGATGGCTCGCTCCCTCCAGCGCGTGGGCATCCGCAGGGCGCTGGTGGTGCACTCCAAGGGGCTCGATGAGATCTCCCCCATGGGTATGTCAGTCCGCCCCTCAACATGGATAGGTGAGCCCTCCCCATAGGTCACTCTCCCCCATGGGTATGTCAGTCCTCCCCACCCCATGAATCAGTGAGCCCACCCCATAGGTCACTCTCCCCCATGGGTCAGTCTCTCTCCCCCATGGGTCAGTCTCTCTCCCCAATGGGTCAGTCACTCTCCCCCATGGGTCACTTACTCTCCCCCATGGGTCAGTCTCTCTCCCCCATGGGTCAGTCACTCTCCCCCATGAGTCACTCTCCCCCATGGGTTAGTCACTCTCCCCCATGGGTCAGTCACTCCAGTGCAGCATCTTCTCAGTTCCGATTTCAGTGATTGGCTCAGCACTATCAGTCCTTTCCTACTGCTCTCCAATGCTCTCCTTTTCCTCACAATCTACCAGTGGCTGTCAGGATCAGGATATCCATGAACTGTTCTTTCTGGTCTCTCTCACTCCTCCATCCCTCCCAACCCTCGTCCCTCTTCCCCTTGCCTCTCTCACAGGCCCGGCAGACGTGACACAAGACTCTGTTCGCCCCTTCGGGGTCATACATTCGTTCTCCTCCCCCTGTAGACTCTCACCCGCGCCCGTGGCAGCGGACTACGGCATAGCGCGGTGCACAATAGAGGACCTCAAGGGCGGGGTCAAGGCACTCAACGCGCAGCAGGTGGCCATCGCTGATGCTCTTGTGAGTGCCAGGGAGGGCAGCAGTGGGAGTGCGTGAGGAGTGGGTTGTAGCAGCGTGCTTTTGTGGCTCTATGCACATGTGTGGTGTGCATGGTGCATGCTCCAGGAAGCCGAAACCCTTAACCCACTTCTGTGAACATGTGACTGCTTACTATCTCACACGTTCCCCCCTGCCTGCTCTCCTCGTCGTCACTCAGCATATTCGTCTCCCCTCTCTCCTGTCATCCCTCCTCATCTTTCATTCCGTGCTCACAGTCCCTGGTACTCCCGCACCTCCTCTCTTCCTTCCTTCTCTCCCTGCAGGTGCTGAATGCAGGCACGGGGCTGGCAGCGTGTGGGGTGGCAAAGGATGTGGGCGAGGGCATAGCCATGGCTCAGGAGGCGCAGCGCAGTGGCAAAGCTATCAGCGTGCTTGACCAATGGGCTGCACTCTCTCAGGTGATCAACCGGCCGCCCTCTTTGAATGTGTTCCCTAAACCCAAGTCTTGGTATATGTGTGCATGGAGCCCAGTCTTGTTCCCTCCACCCCCCTTCTTCCCCACATGTCGTTTTCCTGCCTTTCCCTCTTCCTCTCCATGTCTCTGCATCTTGCTGCCCCACTATAAACCTTCAATGCTTGGTTTTTTCGGTTCCTATCTACACCTTTTCTCTATCAAACAGGAGCTCAAGAAGGCTGAGCAACTAGCAGTTGCATGAGATGGGTTACACCGTTAAATTACCGGTAACAGCTTTGCAGCAAAGGGGTTTTATGTTCATTATCGGGCACATACGGTAGTTAGGATCTGCTGTTTTGAGATTGCAACAAATCAATTCCATCCAAGGCTGCCAATTCTACAGAGTCCCTGCCAGTATGGTCAGCTCAGCTGCTGCTGCTGCTGCTGCTGCTGGAAAGATCAAGGGCAGGAGTGAAAAGGGTGAAATTTGGAGGGCAGCAAGGCGCCTGTTGCTGGTGCTGCTGTTGCTGGTGCTGCAAAGGAAACGAAGCAGCTGCAGCACAGCTAGGGGCAGGTGAAGGAGGGTGATTCAGGTGAAGGAGGTGTAGGGGCAGCTATGGAGGTGAGGTGACATGAACAGCACTGGGAGGACTGAGTCCAACAGTAAGCACCAGGCGGCAGCAATGAAGGCTGCAGCAGTTAATTGCAGGCCCCACGTTATCAGGGCAAAACATCCTGATTACCCTGAATTCAGGATGCTGTTTTGAATTTACCCTGTCATTTCAGAATAGTGTAAATTTTAACCCTGAGGTCTCAGGATGTTTTTATATGAAATGCCCTGAACATTCAGAATGGCTGTAGTGTTCTTCCCTGTAGCGTCAGGATGAATGCCGAGGCCTGCCCTGACGCGTTTTTTGTTGGGGGGGGGGGGAGTCCTGGGGAAATTTCCCCCCGAGGATTTTTGTCTCCGTAGGCAACCCCATCGTTAAGTACTCATTCAACCACCCAACCATACAGAAGTGGCCTAGTCAGTATAAAGGTACTTCCGATAGATGAGGTCCTGGGATCGTACCCACCCCCTTGCAATCGAACTTCAACTTCAACCTTGTCAACCAACCAGTCTGAACCCTGGAAACCTGTTTTTTTGCCCTGACAGGTCAGGATTGATTTCTGAAAAAGCCCTGAACATACAGGAAGGCTTCGAAAATTTGCCCTGACAAATCAGGGCATTTTTTACGATTCTGGAAAGGTGCCCTGAGGCCTCAGGGTGCCCCAAATCCTAGCACGGGCCCTGGTTAATTGTCCTCCCTTGTGCCTGGTTCTAGTACATTAGAGCCTTTTACTTGTCTTGCCACTACTGAAGGTGTATTCAGCTGATGATAAAACGAATCCTCTTCATCTATCAAAACTCTTGTTGTACTAACATGGACAGCAGAACGAGCAACTACATCTAGCATAGGCATTGCATAGCACCGCTCCTATCATCTCATCACCATATATCATCGCCTCATGCCCATCCGGACACTGGCCGGGCTTTTATTCACTACGCTGCACACCACCATGCCACGGTGGCTGCATTATTAGGGAGCACTCTCGTGCAGCACACGACCTCGTTACAGCGCATCCCATTACTCGCAACCTTCTTCACGCCTCGATGCAACCCATCTCGTTAGAAGTTTGTGCCGCTTGTTGAGCTGGCATTGACCCTGCAAATGATGGTCGTCGCCTTCTGCAGGGGAGCGAAATTACGCCGAGGCGAATGCTGCAGAGGATTACGCGGAACTTTGCAGCAGAGGGAATTCGGAGAAGCAGAAGGTTCTGCTGCAGAAGAGTGCGCATCTGCAGAAGAGTGCGCATCTGCAGAAGAGTGCGCATCTGCAGAAATCGTTCTGCAGAGAAAGGCGCGTCTGCAGAAACGGATTTCTGCAGAGAAGCACATTCTCGACCGACGAACCTCTCCGACGCGAAAACGCGATCGTTTCGGAACTTTTGCGTGGGAATTTCGGAACATTGCGGACATTGAGAAATTGACCCCGGGGAACAGTGCGCGGAACTGGGGTGTTCAATCTGGGGCGAAATTGAATCACCTGCACAGAATGAACATGGCGCACGTTTTCGTAACTACGAAAACGTGCGTTACAGAAGTTGTTTAAAACAACCTGAACAGCTAAAACAACTACTTTTATGTAGGTAAAAATTACCTACTAAGCACATGTTGTAATTTTCACCTGCCGACGCTGAGTTGGCAAAGCGCAGCTAAAAGTAGTTATGTAAACGTTCTTGGGCGAACGTTCTCTACATGGTTCATTGGTTGAGTAGCTTCTATTTCACCCCTTGTTGTATTCTATCTTTACAATTCTAGTGAATTTTCTGTGTGTGCCAAATCTATGCCTTTTTCAACACTTAGCCAATTTTCTCCTTAGTGAACAACAAAGTTTGCGTGGCTGCAGAGAAGCATTCCGTAGAGCTCGTTCACCCGTTAGAGCAGAAATCTCTGCACCGCTCTCGTAGATCTTCCCGCTGCTCCACTTGCTCGGAATCACGTCTTGCAGCACCACCTGCTGCCCGCCGCCCGTCGCCGTCACGCGCACGCTCAGCTTGCGCCCCTTGTCCACGACGTCCTTGGCGGGATTCAGTGTCCACGTGGCGCCCCATCCGTTGTTCGTCATGCTCTTCCACTGCTTCCGTCTTGCAGCAGAAATCTCTGCATGGTGCGGTGAGCGTGGATCGAACACGCGAAGAATCCGTTCTTCGACGTTAGGTCTCATTGAACTTAGCTAGTCGACATGGAGGATACTGAGAATATCCTTGAGGGAATCGACAGTCTAAGTGAGCGGGAGGCTGCGGTGCTTGCTCGTCATGAAGGTGGAAACCTCACCGAGCAGGAGCTCAACTTCATGCTGTTGGGAGTACGAGCTCAATGGGAAATGGAACATCCACCGACTCGTGCAGAGGGAGACGAGGAATCGCAGACTTCTGGAGACGACGAGAACGCTGAAGAATTGGCGGAAGGCGGAATGCAGGGGCCACGAGGTGTTCTAGGACAAGGAGAACCGATGAGCCCTGGAGAAGGCTCGCAGCAGAAGGCGGATGCAAGTCAGAAGAAGGCGGCTGGCAAAGGACGCTTGAGCGGTCGAGGATCTGCAGTGAAGACTGTCAAAACATATGCATAATTGTATCTAGACTATATTGGGGCTAGCCTTAGGGGGTACACAAATAGTCTCGACACTCTAGTCTTGTACCCCAATCTTCACCTAATCAACACCCTTTCTCGTTCCCTAGCTAGTGATTCTAACATGGTATTAAGAGCACAATGCTCCTTAGGACCGATTTTTTAAAAAGGGCCCACCACTACTATTTCGATCTACTGCCCGAGTCGCGCCCCTAGGAGAAATGCGAAATTTGAAACCGTGCTCTAGGCGAGACGGTTCCCTAGGCGCGATTTTTTTTTTCCTCCTAGTCACGTGCGACCCCCCCCCCTGAACGCGTAGGCCCGTCGCGAAGCCCGTACAGCCCACGTAGGCCCGTCGCGCAGCCCGTACAGCCCGCGCCAGGCCGTCGCGCAGCCCGTACAGCTCACGTCAGGCTCGCACCCAGCGCGTAAAGCCCGCGCCAGGCCCGCACGCAGCCCTTACAGCCCGCGACTGGCCCGCACGCGGCCCGTGTTACTGTTACTCACTGCTGCTGCTACTGAAGCTAGTGCTGCTACAACTAGTGCTACTGCTGCCACTGCTACTACGGCACTTGCTACAGCTACTATTGTCTGAAACTACTCCAGCTACAGCTAGTGCTACTGCTGCAGCTCCTACTACTACACTTGCTACAGCTAGTGCTACTGCTGCAGCTCCTACTACTACACTTGCTACAGCTAGTGCTACTGCTGCAGCTCCTACTACTACACTTGCTACAGCTAGTGCTACTACTGCAGCTCCTACTACTACACTTGCTACAGCTAGTGCTACTGCTGCAGCTCCTACTACTACACTTGCTACAGCTAGTGCTACTGCTGCAGCTCCTACTACTACACTTGCTACAGCTAGTGCTACTGCTGCAGCTCCTACTCCAGCGCTTACTGCAGCTGCTCCTGACTGAAGCTACTGCTGCTACAGCCCCTGAAGCAGCCGCCCCTGGTGCAGCCGCCCCTGGACCCTAGAGCAGCCGCCCCTGGCCCCTGAAGCAGCCGCCCCTGGTGCAGCCGCCCCTGGACCCAGAGCAGCCGCTTTGCACGCCCTCGCGTGCCCCTAGCGTACCGGCCCCGCCCCACTAGCCCGCCCTTGCTGGCCTCGTGCGACCAGGCCCCGCCCTAGCTAGCTCGCCACCTCGTGCCCCGTGCGGACCGCCCCACTCTGCCCTGCATGCCCTCACGTGCCCCACCTCGAGTAGCCGCTGCCTAGCCGAGCCGAGCCGCCCCACCGAACCGCGTCACCCGGCCCGAGCCGCGCCGCCCTACCGAGCCGCGCCCCTGATTCTGTCACTGCTACTGTCACTACTGCTGTTTCTGCTACTACTACTACTACTGCTCCTACTGTCACTATGGCTAGCCCCCCTGTGCTAGCTTTCGATGCTGAGGGCCGCCCAGTGAAGTTTGACACCTGGCTCGATGACCTGCACCTATTCCTACAACTCACTGCCAAGGAAGACATCTCACTGTACGATCACGCCTTAGGCCATGCCACTGCCCCTGCTGCTACTGCTGACAGCACCGCCCGCTCACAGTGGCAGACTCGTGACGCCCACGCTCGCTTTGCTATTCGCAACTCCCTGCCGATAGATGAGCGCGAGCACTTTGGCCAGCACAAGACTGCACAGGCACTGTACACCGCTGTCGTTGCCCGCTACTCCTCACCTGCCTCTGCCGCGCTAGGCCGTCTCTCACTCCCCTACCTGTTCCCCGACCTGGCCTCTTTCCACACAGTCGCTGACCTCATCACGCACCTCCGTACTAGTGAGGCCCGCTTCCGTGCCGCTATGCCCGATGAGTT